GCTTCCTCGGATTACTTTTTCGATGCTCGAAAAGCCCATTATAGGCCCAATTGAACAAACAGGGCGACCGTCCCAGCCCACCGCCGCAAGCGAACCACAGTCCCGTTTCTAAGAGCGACAAGTGTGTGGGTGTCGGGAGAAACGGTAACAGAAACCTTAATACGGGATGAGAAAGAAACAAACAAGGATGAAGCGAAATGATTTAGTTTAATGTGGGGTCATCTGAGTTAGGAATTTGGGTTGCTTGACAGGAAGAAAAAAACAATAATAGTGGGATTTTTTTAAAATGTATAGCGGGAAAGAGGACTGATGATTACGAATTAATTAGGGAAATTAAAGGGGTTTGCGGAAGGAAGCAGGCGGGCCCCACGAAATGAGGCCAGGAGGGGAGAAATAATGTTGAGACGTGACAAACACAGGGTGGCGGTTTATGAAATGGAAGGCAGTCTCTGTTCATGGTTGATTTGGTCAGCCACCGTTGACTTGTCCAGCTGTCTGATAAATTTCACTCCTTTGAATTATTACTTCCTCAGCTCCACGCCAAATGAATACTCCCCTCATTATATAAGATCTAATTAATTAGTTTGATCAAATTAAAGATATTAAATAAATTAGTTAATATAATATGTTTTTTTCTAAAACATTCTAATTTTTTTTAATCCCCTGACTCTTTTTTTTTATTTGATTATTGTTAAGAGAATATTAATAGGATTAATTTGAGAAAAAATTAATAACCCTGTAAAATATATCTTATATATAAGACTAATATTAATTCTCAAATCAAGTTAAACTAAATAAGTATGTTTTTTTTCTCCTGACGAGGAATGGAAGAATTAAGTAGCGAAAGGAGACTGTGATGAGAAAATGCGTGGTTGGCGGCAACACTGGTAAAGTGGAACATCAGAACATGGCAGCTGGGAAAGGCTCGCCATAATGGTGGCCTGTCAGGCTGTGCCATTGGTGATTACTTTTGTCCCGCGCGTGATGTATTACGGCTCGGGCCTTTCCAATTTGGGGGGTGCCAGTGATTCGGGCCCGGGTGGTTTGATTTGCCTATATTTGTCAAAATCTTAATTGGACTTAGCTATGGGGCCTAATTAACTTCCTGATTTTTGCCAAAGCCATCTAAAACAAGAAAAATAGGATGGGCCACAGAAAAAGGTTGACTGCAACTAGAGTAGGAGAAAATCAAGTGGTTTGATTATTTGAATTTGGACACTCGAATCAGTACAGCCCAGGCTTTAGGAGGTGTACAGTGTACTGTACGCTTTCTTTTCTTTTCTTTTTTTCGTTTTGTGAAGTATGGTTGTAGCGTGAAAACAGAGGGAGGGTCGAAGGGAGGATGGGCCGCAGCAAGCCAAACCCATAGATTTAGGTCCACGAGAATTACCAATTGGGCTGTTAATGTGCTCTCCTCATTATATATGCATTGAGCCCAGGCCCAATGGGCATATTCCCACGACCCATTTCAATTGAACATCTAACCAATATTTTAAAGGAAGAATTACATTCAAGTCCCACAGAAGAGAAATAATTATTAAAAAGTCCCAATAACAACCTGAGCAGCCTGTAATGACAAGTCCTACAGTGAGAATGACAACCTATGAGACTTGTTTTTCAATTATTTTTTTTGTTTGGGACCTCATTGTGATTCTCCCTATTTTAAAAGATGTATTACCCATCGTCCATGGGTTCAACGGTAGGAATTTCACCCTCTCACCTACAGGTAAGGGGGCTCAATTTTCTGTCATGGCACTTGAGGAGGCATCCTAAAATGAAGATGCATAGGTTAACACCTGAGGATATGATGTAGGTTCATCCTACCTAATATTAGTATCACTTAGGAGGAATCATTCAAGTGCCCTGCCCTTAGTTTGGGTTGAGCCCGAACCCTTGTCTAAAATTTGTATACCAAAAAAAAAAGCTGCATTCGATAACTAATAGAAGTTAGATTTAGTAAAAGAAATCAATTTTTCATAATATGATAAATTAAGGTTCAAATCCCTGTTAGAAAATGTGTCCACATTTAGTACCTGTGATTTTTTTCTTTTCTGAGCCACTTTCGAATCTTGAGGACAGTTCATCTAGTTTAGCTAGTTTTTGCCTCTTTTTTTTTTTTTTTTGGCTACCCTGCCTCCAAAGCCGTTGCAAGGAAAAATAATGTAGGCGGGGGCACTTGATAAATCGCAAACTCTGTGATATAGAGGGAGCTTATCCTAATTAGCTTAGTAGCACTATATCGCTATATACGACTACTAGAGTGGTTTTCCCCGCTATTTCACATTACCAACACACTAATAAATCCTTTTTTCGCCCATCATGTCATAATAAGAAGCTTATCCTTTTTTCGTCGCTTGCCTGGGAAAAGCAGCTCCAAATTTGTCATCCCCCTGTAGCGTATACCACCAAATAGCGATTTCTCGTGGACCCATTACACACACAAAACACAGAAACTCTTCGATAATGTGACGTCGTAATTATGTCAGTTTAACGCAATTATGTCATAATCTCGACTTTCCCAACAAGCTCATCAAGCAACAATGCTCGATTTGGAGCATCAAATAATTGCAGAGCAACACCATTCAGGCGTATATTGTTGCCTCAACTGCAAGAAAGGAGAAAAATTAGTGCACCGAGTTTGCTTCGGCGATAATATTCCAATGTGTCTTCCACACAGACAAACAAATGAGTATGAAGTTTAGTGCCCAAAGATGGGAGCCATGTTCAGATAGAAAAGGGTGAGAAGCATTCACAATAAACATTGTGAAATAATGGTGGAGTAGAAAGCTGCCTTGGCAATAATAGCGATTTTGACAAAGGCTTGATGAAATACTGGGATATATATAGTAGGTGAGTGTGAACTCGTTATTTAAATCTTGAATTATTCCCCCAAAAAAAAATCATATCAATGCCATGAGGATATGAAAACTGAACAACAAGAGTGATACTCTTGAAAAGTTAACTGATGCTCCATTTTTTTTTTTTTTTGCATGAAGTGACTACTTTTCTAAGATCATGAATTTGCATCAACGTGATTAATATGTACGCGAGCAGAGCAGCATGTTGCAAATAAACTACGCTACATTCGCTATCTGTGAGCGTGAAAAATAGATAATGAAATGGAAGTGCGTACCGAATTATGCCCATAGTTGGACGCGCAACAAACATTTATTCGAGGTCCACAAGTTAATGGGTTTGGATTCTTTCAAAATCCTTCTCTCTCTCTCTCTTTCTATAATCTTATTTTTATTGTTGGATCAAATAATAAATAATTCAAATTTCATATTTTGTAAAACTATTATTATAACATTACATAAATAGGAGAGAGAAAGTGAACATTTGCTTTTTAAAATATTAAATTTGAATCATTTATTATTTTATTCAACAATGGAGATGGGATTCTAAGAAGAAAAAAGAATTCTGACAGTATCCACATCCCAAGTTGATTAGCTAATGCTCATGGTTTATACTGTCAGAGAATAAACCAAAGATACACTTACAAGTTACAAATAAGAGAAAAAAGAGATAAGACGAAAAACTCAATAACCGAGACAAGAAATAAAGAGGGAATGCACCTCTTGTTTATATGGTCAAGGTGACCATTTTATAAGATAAGAAGGTATTATCTCTCTCATTTATTGTATTGCTTACCTCTTAATTAATAATAATGAAATTAACGCTGATTTCAGTTAGCTTTTTTAATTCCTAATTCTCTTATAAAAACTAACATTAATTTATTCTATTATTTGATTAGGCTTCTTATTTTCCTAACAAAATGGTCCGGACCAGGGAAAAAAAAAAAGAGAACTCTAAAACCTGCCTATAAAATCTGTAGCCTTAGCATAAATCAATATCAGGTATTATTCAAATATGCGTTGGCGTGGAAGTGTGCCTTATGAGTGCGAGTGGTTAAAAAGTGCGTTTCAACTATGAACTAATCGTGGGGGCTTTTATTAATGAAAATGAAGTTTGAGACGCAAATGATGAGGCGCGAACTTATGAACGAGATAGTTGAGCAAGCAACTAATATCAATGATGACTTTTTGACTATACAATTATAATAATTAACTGTTAATCTCCTCTCACCAAATCCAACCAGCAATATATTTGATCATATGTGCATTATCTATTTCTGAAACGACTATATATATATATATATATGACATATGTATGCATGCATATTCTGAGATTGAAAGTGACAGAACCTGCTAACACAATATATTCAACAATTAGCATAAATACTAAAACTACTGCGTTTAATGAGTTGTAAATTCTGTTCTAAGAGTAACGCTAACCCTCCCTTTGGATGATAAGAAAAGCAGAGAGGAAAGTAAACAGGAGGAGAGAGAAAAAGAGAGAGAGAGAATGAGCTGAGCTGGAAGTCTTAAACTAAGGTGTTGAATCTTGACTTAAAAAAATCAGGATACATGACTTTGGCAGCGGAATATGTGGGTGATTTGTTCATCTGTATAGAAAGATTCAAATTAAGCACTCGCATGTTATTAAATTAAAAAGCACGAGTGTACGATGTGTGTTTTATGGTATTCTTCTTCTCCGAGTTTTTTGCATATATCAGACGTACAGAACTGATACTGAATTCTCGTCTGACTGCTAATGCAAATTGTAATATTTGGATTTTTTGCCTCATTCCTTGCTCTCATCATACCGTTCCTCCCCAGTGCTGAGCACTTTCACATGCCATCGAGCTCCGTACAATAATTCTCTCCTTCTCATATATATATATATATATATATTTTACCAGTTTACCACCAGTTATTCTCGGGAATCCGCCACGTGATTTCATCATCGTCCTGTTTTGTTTTGGCTTATTTGCCTAATTAAGCTTAACTTTAATTTAATCCCAAACATAATTAAATTTTTCAATGCACATCACGTGCCTATCATTTGCCTCCTCTTCACTACCTAACCTTAGGACTCGGGATATATATATACACACACAATCGCACGAATAAGCCCCGTGTGTGAGGTGAGTCTGGGAGCAGATCAAACCTGTACGTACTGAATATTGAACCATTAGAAGGAAGACGCGTGAATGGATTCGCGGAGCAGTCAGGGACGGAAGAAGGAACCTTGCAGAGAAGCCTGGACACCTGAGGAAGACAGGAAATTGGTCCAAGTCATTGAATCACATGGCCCCAAGAGGTGGAAGTTTATAGCAGCCAAAGCAGGTATCTGCATGTATATACATATTCCAAAACTGATGAATCATATATGTATATATATTTGTTCTACTCTCATCAGTATCTATTGTTCTTCATCATTCTATTTTTAGTTTTGCTTCATGATGAGATCTGTCTCATATACCACAACAGGTCTAAATCGATGTGGCAAGAGTTGCAGACTCAGATGGTTAAATTACCTTAGACCCAATATCAAGAGAGGCAATATATCAGACCAAGAAGAGGACTTAATACTCAGGCTTCACAAACTCCTAGGCAACAGGTATGACATAAAAATATTTTAAGCCATCTTAGGTTCTGATCGAATACATTTTCTTTTGGCTCTCACTATGTGATATATATATATATATATATATATATATATCCTGGGTATGCTTATGTACTAGGTGGTCTTTGATAGCTGGAAGGCTCCCAGGTCGAACTGATAATGAGATTAAGAATTACTGGAACTCTCATTTGAGCAAGAAGATAAGTCCAAGGAAACAAAACAGAGGTTTCAAAAAAGATTCCTCAGTGGAGATAACTACAGCGCCCGAGAAAGCTACAGTAATTAGTAGTAATGAAGAACAGGAGCCTAAGGTGGTGGAGAACTCGAAGCCTGGCTTTGTTGAAGACCACGAATTGTTCATTCCCTGTAGCAGCGAAGGACCGCTAAATTTGGAATGGGTGAGCAAGTTTCTGGAAATGGACGAAGCTTGGTTTGGATTTGCTGATCCGTGAACTCCATCAACTTCCCTCCTTTACTTCTTGTGCGTGTCAAAGTTTATGTTTCAGTGTTTGATGTCTGGTTTAATTCGGGGATTATTCTCTGGTTTACAATCAACTATCATTGTTGCATAATTGATATCTCATCTTCTGTGTGTCTTGTACTATTAAAGAAGAAAAGCCTCGTAATCACATGATTGGAATCAAATTGAGAACGCAGAAATGTGAAACAACCTTGAAAACGCCAAGCCGCCTACAGGACAAAAGGATATACACAATACTCAATGATAACGGGTTGTGGTGAAATTCTGAAACTGGAAAGGAGAAAAGAGAGGTGTGCATGTGTGAGGATATTAAAAAAGAAGCAATGAGACGGGAAAATTCTGATAAGGGTTTGTCTCTGCCGTATATCTCGATCAGGAGGAGGACCCTCCATAAACAAGAGAGGCCCCGTGAAAAGTATATAGCAAATGACTCAGAAAGTAACTGTGAATTTTAATATTAATGGGTATCGTTTGAATATTTTATTTAGCAAATGATTAACTTTAATCCTAGTAAAGAAATGCTTTTGTAATGGAAGCACCTGGCATGCACTAACAGTGTCAACTTAATTGTTACCATATCATTTATTGGCCGGATAATAAAAATATTGTATGAAATTAAAATCCAATATATTACAAGGTTATTATCAAGTGAGATAATTGCTATGGCCCCTCCGCTCCTTGCTTGTTGGAATCTCGAGCAATCATCATGGAGTGGGCACATTTGAATTCAAATACAGCAGTGTGAATGAGTGCATTTTTTGACCCTAAAAAAAAGCTGAGAGCGCCTTACATGTAAAAGGTAAGTAAAAGCACCGTCATCTGATAAGTACTGCATATAATTCAATAATAATAAAATACTTTTCAACGTTCGACATTACATCATTACATGATAATTTGATTCAAATAAACTATACAGATTATAATAGATTGCATTATTCATAAATCGTAAATTTCGCAACCCATTCACCATACTTCTCTCACATCTAATCTAATGAAATACGTATTCCTTGAGTTCACAGCACGAGTATGATTCTTTCAAAATATTATTTTTGGGTTTCCTCCTTGTTTCTCCTTTCACACACATCCCATAACATCTCCGATTTGGAGTACTCTTTCTGAGAGTTTGAAACTATGCAGTTTAAAGTGGAAGAAGGTGGAAACGTGAAGAACCTCGGCTGCCTCTTCACCGAGAGACAGAGACCAAGCTGCGAAAGCTTCACTATATCTCGATCCCACTTTCTTGATTTAAGCCTAAAGCTGTCGCGACTCAACTTTAGGGTTTATTTGTGAGAATAAAACGAGAAAATATGCGGGCACAAGTTGAAGCAAGGAGGGAAATGTGATCTGCTGATAGGACAGTCTGGGTCCCCAACCATGGCTAAGTTCTAGATTCTCGCGGCATTCATCATAACTTTTCTTTTGTTTCATTCATTCCTGTGAAGAATTTATATACGATGACAGAAAAAAATGAATTGAAGATCACATTCCTGTACCAAGTTTGCTAGTACGAGTTGTATTCTATTGCTTGTTGACGAACCATGTGCAATGATGAACAATAAACCCACGGGTTTAAACTGGTACAAGATCAGAGTATTTTTTATACAAGTACTCTCAGATGGAGGGAACGTGTTTGAACCATAAAACCACATACTTTCTGTTCATTAACTTAGTGCGATTGATAACAGAAATGATATTAATATCCATCCCAGCAGGAAGTACCCGACCACTCTGGTTGGTCCAACGTCCTCTGGCTCCTGTCGTCAAACGAAAAATCATTACATTCTAGTTTATGTAAATTACGTCATATCTTACATTCATATACATGGAGGATATAATCTGATCTCATATTCTAATATATTTCACATATTCAACAGTGAGCTGATCAATGATTTCAAGCAATGTTAACTTTTCAAAATCAGAACTCAAGGGACAGAGAGAGGAAGGAATACCTGTGGAGGAGGAGTGCCTTGAGGAGTTTGTGTTATGTCAACCTCAAAGGGCCAAACGTATTGTTCTGTATTCTCTGTCCTAGCCAAGCTCCAGTCATAAATTCTTCTCTCTTCTTTAGACGATAAAATCGAATATGATTCCTATTATTCATTGAAGACAACATACCAAATTATCGACGGTCAATGGAATCTATCAAGGTTTAAATATTTATAAATGTTATATATACAAACACCCACTACTTACTGACTTTGAGATGTTCCAGTTTCTTGTTCAGCTCGTCTTCCTCCAAACCTTCCTTCTTCAACTCTTCAAGCTTATTGTTGTATGCTAATGCCACCTGTTGAACATTGATGAGTTGAGAAGTCGAACAGAGAAAACCAAAGCAGGGCAATTAATGAGTGGTCCCTCTAACTTATCAGTACCTTTTCGAATGAACTTCCTCTGGGAATCCCGAGTCTACCATAATGGTCAACATCTGTAATTGCTGCATTCCTAAACTAACACTAATCAATGGATTGCATTTCTAAATAACAGACGAATAAGAAAGAAGGGAATTCAATCAAAAGGAAGAAGGGATTACGTATGCCACGGAGAGCCCTTTCGACGTTAAGGGCTGAAATCAGAGAGGAAGATTCTTCTGGAACTTCAATGGCGGTCTCAGAATCGGCTTGTGTGGCAGTGGTGTCAGTCGAGGAGGAATCATTAGCCGTGGAGCATCTGATGCAAAGTCTACGGGGCTTGGCGCTGAAGCCGACAAAAGTTGAGAATCCAAACTTTGGTGCCTGGGTCGGGTGAACAATGTTGCCGGCGATGGACACCGTGGCGGTGGTGGACGACACAGCCATTGCCTCTCTCTGCCTCAGCCAACTAAGCAACCTTCTATTCTACGCCCCTCATCATTTATCCGTCTGGGCCGGCATACCCAAATCAAATGCACCGTCCTTGTGGCGCACAATTAGGCCGTTATAAAAGAAAAATATTTACACAAAACTGATCGTTCGCCAACTGGGTCGTTGTAGTATAGTGGTGAGTATTCCCGCCTGTCACGCGGGCGACCCGGGTTCGATCCCCGGCAACGGCGCGTTTTCTCACTTTTACTTTGGGTCCCAAGTTGGAGTGGGCCTACTTCACAAATGATTTTCGAGGCCCATATTTTTGGCGCTCCCTTTCCCCAATCTTAATATTGGGCCTCTTTTGCTTGTACTCACAGGCTCACTATCCCCGGTCATCGTGCGGCGGTAGTCCAATAGTTTGCCAAGCGCTGACGCAGGTGCACTCCTTTTTCTTACTTGGATTCCATTGTTACTCGTAATTGTACAACCCTAATGTTATAGTCTTTCTGAGGGCCCAAAAAAATGGTACGTTTTGCTTTTGTCCCTGGCTGATATGGTGAAATGAACAGTGAATGTATCACATTATTCGTAATTGTGCGTTCTATCTTTTCATCTGCTTCTGAAGAGGCCTCAAAGAGCATTATTGTAGAATCGAACCTACGCACTAGGGCAGTATACGAAGTGCTCTTCTCTTCTGTGGCCCTTCCTAGAAGCGAGAACCCATGAGCGATGAGAAATATGCAAGTATGAGTGGGACGGCATGTTAGCAAAGTGGGCTGTCCACAAAACGGCGAGTGGAATGAAGCCATGCTCCATCCCTAACACCGCCAGCAATAGCACACTCCACTATCCCTTCTGCCCACGCTTTAAATACTATAAGACTTAGTCAATTAATTTGAATATATTAAAAATATTAGTTAAATTATTTTATATGATATGTTTTTTTAAAAAATATCATAAGAATCTTCGTTAATTATCTATCTTCCTCTTCTACTTGATTATTATTAAAAAAATGTCAACCAAGTTAATTTAAAAAAATTAATTAATATATGAAACAGGTCTTATATATAAACTCTCTAATTTAGATTGAACATTAAAAATTTAAACCCCCCACGTTAAAAACTAAATATCCTAGTGCATGCATGTAAGTACTCTCAATAGTCAAATACTAGTAATAATTAATAAATGCACAAAGTAAATGGGGTCACCATCTGTATCCCACTAAAATTTCTGGCCCAGTTTAGGCGCGTGCTTATCATATTGTGTTCATTTTCAAATATACGCTCTTCCGTCTCACATACATAACTCATGTGTATTCTCTCTGTTATAACCGACACGGTTAATATATCGGTATCTACGTAAACTGATAAAACTGCTAATCCTTATTCACTTCAGCGACAATTGGTTCATGATTTGTTCTGGGCTAGTTTAGTTATACTTATATCAGAAATGAAACAACGAGAAAAATAAAATAGAGGAATGGAAGTAAATTAAATTGGAATAGTGATCATCATAAATTTGTTTCATATGCTATAGAAAAAATGCTAATTTTTATATTTTTATCTATTTAATCAAACAATGGTAAATATATTTATTTTCATATATTTCATTAAATTAAATTAAAAAAACAAAAAGTTGTGGGAGATCACATGCTTCGCAAGTATATATAAATATTAAATAGTGCATTTTTTTTAAGCTCAACGTAGTTCTCATATACTACTATTTCTTCGAATTTACATATCTATGCAGATATTCTAAATTTCTAATAAGCTCCAAGCTGTGCGTGGCCCACCACCGCTTGCGGGTCACGTGCAAGTAACTGCCTATAAAACGGACCGAGCAGGCCTCACATTTCCCTCGCTAATGTACCCTAGTGACACTTGTTCCATCTGTTCACTATTTAACCATGGGTGAGGCTCCTCTGGTTCTTTACTCCATTAGCTTCACCAAGTTAATTCCATTTTCATACTCAACAAAACCTCATCAACGATATGGATCGTGATTCTCTCGTCTGGTTTGAGGAAATCCTCGACGATGATCTTAAATGGTCTTTTTCTCTCAATAGGTTCTGCAATCTTCTCTTCTTTTAAATCACCCTTCAAAAAATCTATATACATCCCTGCTGCCACATCGATCTGTCGTTTTGATTCATTCGTTTTGTTTTCTCAGTGTGCTCCGTAAAGGGACTAGCGAGTATCAGGACATAGCTCTCTTAGACACCAAGCATTTCGGAAAGGTTTGGTAGCTTCCTCCAATCTTCTTCTAAACTTGAATTTCTTTCCGATTAAGCAGAAGGATGACAGAATTATTAACTCAGTTGTTGCATAAAATATTTAGGTGCTGGTGATTGATGGGAAGATGCAGAGTGCTGAAAAGGATGAATTCGTCTATCATGAATGCTTGATTCATCCCGCTCTCTTATGCCACTGCGAGTAAGTCCCAGTAAATATATCGATTTATACATATTCAATTAAGAATATAAGTTTTCTGCAACCTCCCTATCTTAAAAATATAGTCGTCAGCAGATGCATGTGTTGAGCATCATATATGTGTGATTAGAAATTCATGAATGAACTAGTTGACATAAACAGCACTGGAAAAGCCAACAAATATTTCAAAGAAGTGTCCACGCCAGGCTCCTCTTTCACACGCACATACAATTTTTTCGCTATTATTTCGAGTTCAATAGTCACAGGCAGCTCGTGTAAAACAATTCACTAAAGTACTCATGTGCTGCCAGATATCATCTTCACAATTTAGCGTTTGGATTACAAGTTTTAGCTGAGGACTACGCTTCTTCGTGTATTGAATGGCTCTTTGAAGTCTCCTGACTTGGACGAAGAGGCAACTGTGCTAATGTTTTTTGTTTTCCGGTGTGGCAGCCCCAAAACTGTCTTCATAATGGGAGGTGGCGAAGGGTCTGCTGCGAGAGAAGTGCTAAAACACAAGTCAATGGAGAGAGTGGTCATGTGTGATATAGACCAGGTTGCTACTGCACAACATTAGCTCCTCATCCGTCTAATCTGATCACAAGTGCTATTACGATTGTTGAATAATTTTTGGATGGAGGTATTAAGAGTTTAAAATCGAACGTCTCTCTCTTTTTTTTTGGCAGGATGTGGTGGATTTCTGCCGTACATACTTAACGGTAAATCACAAAGCCTTTTGTCATCAGAAGCTGGACCTTGTCATCAATGATGCCAAGTAAATATTCTTTCTTGCATGCATGCTTCTAATTCCATCCTTTTTTTTTTCCGGTGAAATTCTCATTCCATCCTTTGCTTTATTGAGAACACATATTCTTGACCATTCTTTGCAATAATCAAAGCCGGGAGGTTAGTTTGATCACCATTATTTAATATATACTACAAAGTACATCATACATTGCTTTCAAAGAATTATTTGCAATTGTCTATGTAGTTCTTTATTTTTAAAATTCACGAGCCTAAAATATTTATATAAACTTTAAATTGAAGGGCTGAATTAGAGAAGAGGAACGAGAAGTTTGATATCATTGTTGGAGACTTGGCAGACCCCGTTAAAGGAGGACCTTGCTACCAACTTTATACTAAATCCTTCTACGAGAAAATACTCAAGCCTAAACTTAATGAGAAAGGCATTTTTGTGACTCAGGTAGGTTATTAGGAATAAGACCTTTTATCTAGTGAGAAGATGTAAGCAATGATAACATTTAGCAAATTCTCGCCTCTGCAGGCCGGACCCGCTGGCGTCTTCACCCACAAGGAGGTCTTCACCTCCATCTATAATACAGTCAAACAGGTGTTTAAATGTAAGACTCTAATTTAAACCTCTTGATCATCTGTTATGATTATACGGAGAGGTCATCAATAAGCTAAGCTAACAGAATACGAGAACAGATTGTTCGGTTTCAAGTATTCAATTACAATCAATATTATTTCCTTTTATGTGTTCTTCTGCTTCTTTAATTTTCTGCAGATGTGATGGCATACACAGCTCACGTACCATCTTTTGCTGATACCTGGGGATGGGTTATGGTACGCAGGAAGATAGTTTTGCTGTATTATAGTTGGGAGTAGTGACGGGTTTAAAGTTATGACTACTCACACTTACACGAGTCTATATTTTCTCTTAGGCTTCGGACCATCCATTCTTGATGGGTGCTGAGGAAATGGACAAAAGAATTGAGGAAAGGATAGATGGGAACCTTCTCTATCTAAATGGCGCCTGGTTTCACTCCGCTGCTACCATGAATAAAACCGTCTCTCAATCGTGAGTCAATTTTTCTGTCCCGTCACATTCAAAGTCAATTTCTCTACACAGATTGAAAATTTCATACTCCATACCTTTTAGAGACATGATGTTACTTTCAATTTACAAAGGAAATAGTAATTTGGAAAGCCTTCGCTGGATCTTCTAAGAAATTGTTATATGAACAATTTGGTGATAATAAACGCCACCATCACGCAAGTTAATGGATTTTAACATCAACTTCGTTGCTTTTTCAGGTTGCTGAATGAAACTCACGTGTATACAGAAGAGGATGCTAGATTCATTCATGGACATGGTTTAGCAAATCGGAACTGAGGTCATACACCACAAGTTGAAGAAATGGCTGCACAGAAGAAAGGGACGGGAAGCTCGGATGTGCCCAACAAGTAGCATGAAAAAATCAATTAGCAATTTACTATTGTTTCATTGAATTGGTTTATAAAAATTGTCGTTAGTTTCGCGAGGTTGCTTCCATGGTTTCTCAATGATAACCTCTTAACCAGTTCGATATCATGACGTGTGAATGAATTTTCCGGCATTCCTTCAAACTGTTTTTCTATTTTTTTTTTTTTAATTGTGGGCCGCCGTTCAGACTCTCGTTCACTGGCCTTCTTGGCAATTATCATCCACTTCACCGTTGCTCAAGAATCCAATGGAAGAGGGCACTGGTCGGACAAGAGGGCGTGCTAGGACTGGTTCACTTTGATGCAAAAATCACATTTAAAAAAAAAAAAAATCCACCCTGCTCATCACATATTCACGCGTTCTGCGTAAACTATTGAATAAAAACTGTTAGGATATTTATAAAATTTAACTAGAAAAAGATGGATTAGTATTAATATCAGTTTTAATATATCAAATTTGTGAATTCAACATAAAGTAAACCTACTTTATGTTTTTTTTTTTTTATATCTACAAGACTAAAGTTATATATACGTGAAGTAAGTATTTTTATATTGGAATAACTTGGGACTTAGGAGATCTACTTGTATGATTTTTTTTTTAATTAGACAATTTAAAACCCCTTTTCCTGTGCCCATACACCCACGCGCTCACTTTGGTCACCTCCTCTATGAAAGAATGCGCTGGGTGTCATTGAATCAAGTGATTATTGACGATCTACTTATATGATTAATAAAGAATGTAATATTTGTGTAACCCATCCCCGCTTTTATTTTGTTCTTGCTTCTTCTTTCTCTATCCTCTCCCTTAACTTTATAGTAGTTTTAATTTTGGGGGGAAATCAAACTCATGCCTGTCACGCCACAAATTCATGAAAAATAATATATACTCCCATAACATGGAATAAAATTGACCACATTCAAGACTCGACTATCCTAAAGGGTCACACAATTGAGTGACAAGACAAATGATATCATCTCGCGAGCACAGACGCATCAGATCCAGCATTACGGAGATGAACCGCCTGCGGAAGAAGATTGTATCTGATGCTGAGCTCTTCAAATATCTTCTTGATTTCCATCACCAGTTCACTTCTTCGCTTGTTCTTCACCGTCCACTCTTGGAAGTTCATTGTGTGGGTTACATACAGAGCCATCTTTATCTTGTTCACATTTTCAATCTCCTTTACTACAACCATGTGATTAGGATGCCAATGTTGTGGATTTCTCTCGAAATACCTGATTCCAACACCACAATGCATTACAACAAAATTATGAATTATAAACAGAAGTAGACATAGAGTCAGAGCATAGTAAAAGAAGTTGTTCAGATCGCTTGGAAAGATGAGTGAGTCCGTTAAGTTATACCGGCTTTACCTCTTTATTTTCTCTTTCACAGCCCCAATCTTCTCCAATGGTGTCATGAAGTCAACACAGAACTCTACAGTGTCTCCCATATCTGGACTTCTGTAATAATTGCTTATGGGTTTCGTGGCTAGAACTGAGTTTGGATAATACACCTTTTCGTTATCAAGCTTCAAGAAGACCGTTGTCAATATATTCATTTCTTCAACCAGTAGCTGCCAGATTATCAGAGTTCATTAAAACAAGAACTCACCAAGAAAGAGAAATAAAAATTGCTTGGTGTAAATTACCTGAACACCATCAACAGCACATCGATCACCTACATCAAAGGGATGCATCACAAACACAAAGATGATAGCTTCAAATATGTTCTTGCATGTGTTCCCAAACATGAAAGCAACGAGTACTAGCTGTGATGAGAAGAACAAAAGTACTTTTGTAGTGGCAATTTCCATCAGAAGAAGCCACACTACTATGGTCACGACCACCAGAATCCCTGTCACTAGCTTGCTTAACTGTTTCACTGCTGTTTTGGTGTCACCCAAGGCATGTGCCAATGCTTTGCGCTCCTGATAAACCCTCAACTAAAGAACACAACATGTACAAACATCAATGAGTGTAAATTTTACTAAGAAAACAGGATCTCAGTTCATCATAACCTAATTCAGCAAGTATTGTAGGTGCATTGCTTGTAACAGAAAAACTTACCACCCAACTTGTTAGGGCCTTTCTGTCAATTCGTCCAGTTTCTGCTCCATCAAACAGGGGAAACACCAGATTCACTTCTTCCTTAATCATGAACCTCCGAAGGTCATCCTCATCAATGTACCTATTCATAATTAAAGAAGTTTATAAGGGCAAGGCACTATATAAGGGTAGGGCAATAAGGCAATGAAAAGAACAAATGATCTTGTTTCAAGAAGAATGGAAGTTTTCTTACAAGGAACCAGGGCTGGCAACATTTCTGAAAATGTGATAGGCAGCAACAGTTGCTTCCATCTCATTAGTAATCTCTTTATCAGTTTGTTCAAAAGTTTCATCTAGTGCATTAGAGATAGTCGACAACCTTGAATTTGTCACTGCATCAACCAAAATCTTCATGGTCCAAGCAGAAACCTTCTCTTGTTTCATCTTGTGAAGCTTTGCCACATCAATGACCTCTTTCTTTATGCCTCCTTTGCTTTTTGTACTCCTAAAACTAAATTGACCAATACTAGGTGATCTCCCTACCTTCTCTGCCTCCTCTATGAGTGGAGGCCCTGATAGTGTCTGCAGGACATACTGATGAAAGATTGATTCTTGAATTCTATCAAAGAAAGATCTGACATGGAACTTTGATGCTAATATCTTTAAAGACAATGTCTTAAAGAACCATAAGAATGCTCCAATGAGAAGAGAAATTAGAGTCTGCGTTACACCATTCAAAATTTTTGTGGCGAGTTCAGACCGCTGGGCCCTATGATTGATTAACAGAACCCAAGCGAGAAGAATCAAACCCAGCCAGATAAAGACCTGAACACTCTTCTTCAGTCCATGAACAAAATATAGCACCTTTTTCCTCAGCAAAAAGTTCAGTTCAATCAAGAACACAATGATGTGCATTATCCAGTTTGTGACTAACATGCCACAAAAGATCACCAACACAAGCACACACCATTTCCAAAACTCCAAACCCCAAATGATTGTGTTTTTCAGTTTATCAACAGTCAAGCTCACCACTAGGCACCCCATCATGCATACAAATACAATCCACTCGATCAAAACCATCGTGGTTACTCTCTTGCGCCTCCCTTTACTCAATTCAACTTTCCTATAAAAGATTTCATCCTCATCCTCTCCCGCAGGCCCTGGAGATGCCGTGAAGGGTGTCTTGGGAGTGATGGTAGAGGTTATGGAGGCTGTTCTATTAACCACCCTGGATTTGTTATTTGGTGAACCCTTGTTGAATGAGTATCTACATGGTGAATTAACAGCCAACTGTTCTTGCAATGTGAAATCATTGGTATCCTCAAACAAGGTAGCATCAACAGGATAAGGTTGTTCACCAAATCTTGATTTGGGTTTGGAATACACTGACCTCGTCAGCGACTTTCTATGTACAAAGTTTTCGCTGCCAAGAGGATGTTTGGGCGGCTTCCTTGGGCTGGGACTGAACCGTATTTCAGGAGAAGCGCCGTTTAAACGTGGAGACTTCGATGCAGCATGCCCAGTATGGACGTCATTGCATTCAGTCACTTTGGAGTCTTGCCCAGAGATCACCACCAACACTTCGCCTGCATTAGCTGTTTTCTTCTCCATCCTGCTTGCTTCGCCTGGTTTTGGAACTTGATTCCTATTATCGCCATCCATGAAGATCTCTACATTTAGTGAATTGATAGAAATCAAGCCTTCTTAGAAATAAACTCGGGGATCAAACACGAATACTTTAAGAAGAATCCAGTCGTGCGTGGAACTACTAACTAGACGATGAATTAACTATGCTTTCTAGTTGCAATGTGAGATGAAAATGAAAATAGAGAATCCTAGAATTTCAGAAATTCACCAGCAAGTATCGTGGGCAGGAAAGCAATCCACGAAAGGTCCAAAACATGCACCAGAAGTTGACGTAGCTGCGAAAAGGTCAGACGAAATAGTTGAAGGTGGATTTGAAATTCCGACGCTTCACTTTTTTGGGCTGGGATACTATGCTGTGCTTGAATGCGAAATCGCCCGCGGAAAAGGGGGAGATGACGGTGCTTTCACATCCCGAGAAGGCCAGACTTAGATTTATTAGACAGGTCATGATTAGTTTACTCTCCCCGGGGCTAACATAACGAGTTAATCAGTGTCGTTATGTGAATTAATTACTGACTGGAAAAACTCAGTTTATCTTTTTCTCTTCTTTCGTACATAAACAACTGCACCGTGATTGCAGGGAGGGAATACTTGGACTTCTGATCGTTCGAACTCTGTATTGGGCGCGCCAAGTTCTTTACTAGAACCTTCGTTGTCGCTTAGCAAATGAAGAACCTCCGATTTATCGCAAGCACAGGCATTGGATCGAATGGAATGGTGACAAAGATTGTTATGACATGGGTCAGTCAAATTACGTTTGACAGAAGGCGAGAAAAATCGTATATTTTTGTTTGGCAAATTAGAACTTAAATCCTAAATTACCGCCACCCCCGGCTGTTTATTTTTATTCTTTTATTGCAGATAAATATGGCATTTCAAAATTCAATTCTACACATAGTTATAAGGTGTTAAGGAAGGAAGATAATTTCTAAAAAGTTTCAATATAACAAATAATACTCCTCCGGTTTTAAATATAAATAGAAAAATAATAGTTATAAAGTATATAAGGGTTTTACATTTAGAATCAGATAAGTATAATGTTTCAATTGCTCTGTTTTTCTCTTTTTGGAGCTCACAATAATTCTCCGATGATGTTATCAAGAAAAATAAAGAAGCAATCAAGTTGGACGCATAAAATATATGAATCACGTAGCTGGACGTCACGAAAGTGTGATCTGTTCGTAGGGAAGCGAGCAAGTGGAGCAGGTGATCACCTGAACAATATAAAAACTGGAGCGTTGCGATTAATATTTCGGGTCACACGATCAAAAAAAGGTGCATATGTTAGACATTTAGGGTTCAAACTCCTGACCCAAAATATTTAAAAAAAGCAAAACTGTGCATTATGTTTATTAGTAATCTGGATCTCTAACTTTGGCAATAAATTATGACTGGTAGTATAATATAATTAGAAATAGAGAGGCGATAAATAAAATTGTCAGATAATATAATCCAAATATTAGAGGGGAGAGTGTGATGTATAATAATTGGTTCACAGGCATTAACTGTAGATTCCATCATTGGATTGATCAGCTGATCGGGGCACTGGGGCTGGCCAGCGGGAACGTGAGATGAACCTCTTTCCTGGTAAGTTCCGTTGGGAATGTGCTGTCCAAGCTGGAAGGCAGTTGATGAATTGAACTGTATCCGTTGGGATTTAAGTATTTAGAATTCTGATGGGCCTACCCAATTGTAGGGCCCACACATATAGATAGTGTGAGCCTACCAAGTCGTGGCCCAAACGAGGCCCAAACGTGGTAATATTGGATGAAGGCTCATGACCCATGGGCATCCCTCACATCAAGGTGCCTGGATGGGAAGGCTTTAAAATAACTTATAAACAGTTTTTTAATTATGATTTATAAAATAAGAGAGTCGAAGGAAAGCACATAAGGAAAAAAACTGAGTAAAAATTACGATCACATTTAGTGCTAGGTGTCACTAGTATAACGTCCAATAAAAAGGATATATGTGGTTATTAAAAACAAAAAGGAGCGAGCATATATAGAAGTGAAGACCTTGATGCGTGACCGGGAGATGTACTTGTGACGATAAAGGCAAAGCGAGTGAGTGGGCATTAGAATTTAGAAACTCCTCCCTCGGGATCGCCACTCGGTCCATTCCCTTTGTCTTTTTTTCCCCCTCTTTAAAGCAAAAGAGACGCTTCTCCATCCCATCCCATCTCATCCCATTCATTTTCTATTTCTCCTCTCTCCCTAACTTTACTCCCTCCCTCTCTCTCCTCTTCAAACACTCACTCTCTCTTTTCTAGTTTGTTTGCCTACATATTATCAGTAATATCTCTTTACCCACCGGTTTTTCTTAATGCTAAAAAAACAGGTTAGGTTGGAGTAATTATAAATGGGCTAATTAACCGACCTCTCATTTCTCAACAGAAGCGCTACATAGGAATCTAAGTTTGGCGAATATTATGATTATAGGAGTAACATATTCAGTTTATAGCAAACTTATAGACTGCAAAATTATTCATCATCTCATCATTGCTTGCCTTCCTTGTCTCACTCCACACCCACCGCACGGACTCCACATCTCTCCAACCAGCCCACCTATCCAATTAAACTCACTCATTTGTTTTTCTCCCTACAAATTTAATCCCATTATTCTCTCATTTTCCCATGTTTGTTTTTCTCCCTCCCCCCCATACAAACACGGCTTTAATTTTCTGCACTCATTTTCACCATAACACCTTAAAGTAAGTGCATCGAAGACTTCAAAACTTGGCAAGCTAGCCAGCGTTCCCTACCTACATCCGCAAATGCAATAAACAACTATATATATACTCCTTCGGTCTTTAATATATGACCTAATTTTTGAGTTAGTTTTGGTACTAAATATAATATCCATTTCTTATATGTATCAATTTTCTCTTAATTACCCCTATAGATACTCTCTCAACCATAATCAAGTAGAAAAAGGAGAAGGGGTATTAAGAAATATGATTGTGGTGTTTTAGGAAAAATACGTCACTTTTCTTATAATTAATTAACTTACCTAACTTCCTTAATCTAATCAAATTAGTTAAATGGGTCTTATATTAAAGACCGGAGGACTATATATATATGTATATAAGAATAAGAATAAGAATAAGAATATATGGATCGCATAATAGATTTCTAATGATATGATCCCGAGTTGTTTATGTATACTTTTGACTGGGGGGAGGGATTCTTTTTGAGTGGGTCTGCCTTATTTCGCATAACGACCTTATATGCATGCTCATTGTCACGTAGTAATCTTAATTATATATTTATTACTTTATGTGAGGATGCCATTATTGCGTCTACTCACAATCAACCCTGCTAGCCCGGTATCTTTTCAATGATCAATCATCATTTTAAAATACTGTATTTAATCATTTATTTCTTAATCCTCCCCCTTTTATTATTACATGCGTTATTTTCATGCCTCTGCCAATTGACACGAGGCCGAGGCCATAGTGTCTGCTAACTCCTCCCATTTATTAACTTCTCTATCATAGGGTCCCAACTCCCTCCTCCCACATCAAGCTTAATTTCATCAAACATATTAAACCCTCGAAATTTTGTAGCATGAAACGGTCGATATTGTCTTAAAAGAACATTATTCTCAGCTTATGCTTCCTCGTACGATACTTCCCACCTTTGTATATATATATATATATAATTTTCTTCAAGTACAATCCACACTACTTAATTACGTACAGAGACCCAAAAAAAAAAAAGATCTTGTTAAGTAATGGCTTTAATTGTTGTTGGATGTTGGGGTTGGTGATGGTAGCACAGTCTGCAAGCAATGGGCCAGCGTACAAAATACTAGAATAGGACTGAGGAAGGAGGAAGAAAGAAGGGAAAGCAAAAGCTTTGGTGATGTTCACTTTCTCTATTCCCATGGACGAAGATCTGCCTTTCCCTTTACCATCACACCCTCCACCTCATTTTGCTTGCGATCTCCATCTCGAATCTCTCGTTTTTCGCCTCTCTTAGCTTCTTTTTTTTCTCATCCCTAGCTAGCTTTCTTTAATTTCTTTTCCTTCTCCTTCAAACCTTCGATCTCTTTCGTCAGTATCTATCAATCTGAACGTTACATGATCGCGATCGAGAATGAACGCATCCCACCGCCACTTGCTCTCTCTTTTCTAAAAATCAAGTTCCTTGTTCACTTTTATCTCTTTTCTTTTAAAAGAGAGAGGAAAAAAAAAAACCTCGCATTTACTGTTTTCTTAAACACCGTCGTCGTCGTTCAGGAAATTTGAAGATTCTACGTACGGTTCACACTTCGTTGCTTATGGACATGGACTCGGAAACATTGAGTAGTAAAAGTTCACAGAACGTAACAGACATCATTCAAACTCTCTGAATTACAAAAACGGCCATTGATAATGGCGATGGGTATATAAGTGATGACTGGTTTTTGTATACATTTTAGTTTCTCGGCAACGCTCACAATTCATATCAAGCTCATGAAACACGGTATTTTTAATTTATATGGATCATCTCAGAATCAAACCTTTGATTAGAATTCACACTTCACAAGAACACTGGAAACAAAATTTAAAATCGTCGTGTATAGGTTATAATATGCTCCTACTGAACAGAACCACTACATTATGAGGCCACTAGCAATGGCGCGATTTGTACTAACATGAGTAGTCTCATACACCGGAAGCTCCTCACTGTACCTAGCGTCTCCCATGACCGCCAAGTGATCAAGCTCGAAAAGATCCGAACTTGCACAGCTTGCTGCATCATCGTCGTCTTCATCATCATCATCATCATCTTCTTCTTCTTCCTCAACCACATTTGTCCTAATGGGAAAGTCCCTCAAAACCAAATCGCTTTTCCTCTGGTTTTGGTGATACTCTTTCAAGAACTCTCTGGCAGCTTCTTCCACTCGCCTGCTCTTCTCCATGACTGTGACTTTGAGTTGATCTTCATCAATGTTCTTCTTATAACCTGGGGACCCTCCAATTTTCCAGGCGGTAGGCACCGACACAGGCATTAGACTAGTGTCTTCTTCTTTGTACAAGCGTTTATGCCCACAAGGTCGACTGTCTTCATCCACGATCACGCTTACTGGGTAGAAACGCACGGTTCTCTTAACATCTTTACGCAAAGAAGGCGAGGTTTTGCTCAGGCAAGACCGTGAGAATGAAGACGCCGATGAACATGTTGAAGCTTGACCTGACTTGGATTTCCTCTCAGCGTTTACGTCTTCGCACGCTCCAACGGAGCATGTTCCCGAGCTCTTGCTTTTCTTTGTGTTCCCTGGTGTAAACAGAGCGTTGAGAAAATTCGTGAGCTTTCCACCTGGAGAAATTGGTTGCTTTGCTTTCTTAATATTCTCGTAAATCTTGAGAGCCCTGGATTTACTCTTTATTAATCCTTCCTCATGAACATCATAAGCACGCGCTTCCCTCTGCTTCTGTCCTCTATCTTTCTTCTCTGCTCGGTCAGACCTGACGGACACACTGGTCTTCACTGGCTTAGGCCTCGGTGGCGCGAAGCACGAGGATTGCGATCTCACTCCGTACATGGACTCAGTGTCAGATGAAGAGAATCCTCCAGAACTGGAATCAGAAGAACTTGAAGTGGAACTGAAAAACAGAACATCTTGGTCGTGATCATGCTCAAGATGCAGTTTTGTGTCCAGGTGGATCGGCTGGTGCGTCCTCTTGGTGCCGACCTTTTCGCCCACCTTCTTGTCCATCCATTTCTCTATCAAACAAGCGCGGCGAAGATTTGCCTTGGCTCTTTCTTCCTCCTCGGCGGTTCTGTTACATTTCTCACTGCTTCTGCTGTGTTTCTTCGCCATTGTGTCTCTGTGGAACTTCATATCGCCGGACTCCCTCTCGCCTTCTTCGATGGAACGGTAAATCTTGTCGAGCAGACTGGAAGAGAAAGAGGGGTTTTTAGGGTGGTTGGGAAATGTGGGTTCCCTCAGTGTCTTCTCCAACATGTACATGTCTGGTTGGTACTTGGTAATAAATCGGCCAAAAGGAATGATTAGCACGGGTAAAAAGAGAATGATGAACAAGGACAAGCACGAACAAGAGGAAAAAGGAGGTTAAGTGTGAGCTTTTAGGTAGAGGAAGATTCAAAAGCTGCGAGGCATGATTGAAGAGAAGGATAGATGGAGAAGTGGTTGTTGGAAATGGTAGAAGAAAACGTGAACAGGGGTAATTGATGGCTGTCTAAGAGAAGAGGAAGAAGGTAGGAGAAAGTTTGAGAGGAGCAATGAGAACACAATGGCACGCTTTGAAGGCCAAGGGAACAGGAATAGGTGAACACTTTATAAAGGCTCGTCACGCGCCTCCATTTTGGCATCTGCTTACGTGTCAAACAAATCAAACCTTGGCCCCTACTTTTAGTTCCTCCCTGGTCCTCCCAAATTCGAATTTTTAGCCGTTGATCAAGTTGAAGAGACAGGGGAATTATATCCTCTCCTCACTCACATATTCACCTGTATTCCAACGCCATACCCACTTTGAGCATGCAGGTAAAAGGCTACTCTTATGGCTTTGCTCAAAATTAGAGTCCGTAAGAATATGGAATATGGTTGACGAATAAGCATTGGGGTTGGTTGGTTGGTCATGAGTTGGAAAATATTGTAAAATTACAATGATTGACAGAGAAATGGGAGCTAAAAGCGAATCACGTAGCAGAACAATGGATGTAATGAGGAAACCAAATAGTATTTGTATATAATACTCAAGGGCTATTTGTGGGAAAGTTTAGTTTAATTTACTGTGCATAAAGAGTGAAAACAACATTTTACGCTCTGGAGTTGGGACTTGTTATTATTGGAAATGGATGCTCCTAAGCACAATTTGCTTTGCTTTTTACCAACAAAAAAGATTTAACAACTAAAAGTTTACAGCTTACGGGTGGAGATGAATAATCATGCAATCCAAACCACTTGGTTAAACGCCTATGCTTAAGGATTTCTGGGGCCCATTTTGGTACTGCTTCACTCGCATTTGAAAGTAATAGATGCTGTTGCACCCAAACAAAATGGTAAGTGACGTAGGAGGGTTAAAAGGTGAAAAATATCAACCAGCGGCCTCACACAAAGATACATGTGCTTTATCAGTGCCCTTTAACCTCAAGAAATAACTGAGACGGAGCCTGTAAATTTGACTGTTTAATCTTCAATCATAACCACTCCAAGGAGCCTCCCTCTTCTAAAACTGATTATGAAGCGCCCATCAATCACTTAGCAGCTCTGTCATCTCATGAATTCAAAGTTTTCACATGGCTCCCAAAGTCCAAGTTGATCATACAGCAGAATTGCCATAGAGAGAAAGGGAACACTATTAAATGGAACGTGTTTTCACGGGTGAAAAGAAAGAATACCCAATGGGGTTGGTTTTTTTTTTTTTGGGTAAGCCGCAATTCCGCAAACTTGTAGATATGGGTATATATTAAATTAGATATGGAAAGCAAACAAAATCATTGACTGTGTTGAAAAGGAAAGATGCAACAAATCCCCCGCCTCAGCCCATCAGCTTTGTTTCGGATTTGTTCCCATTATACTTGTCAGCATCACATGTCCTCCAGTATTTGGTCTTGTCTCTGTTCATTTGCATCAATACATGGGGTCCCTTCACATCATACTTACAATATCCCTCCCACTACCTCCCCACCCTTCCCCTTTATCTTTATGCACCCTATTTTGTAACTTGTTTTCCCAAAACCCTTCTATTTTGCTTTCTGATAGGGGCTCTTTTGAGTAATCAGCCATTACTGTATTATAGCTAAGCAGAGTCTGGCTTCCACCAAACAGACATAGATATCATATTTAAATAGAAGTCAAAGTCGCATTAATGTGTGGATTTAAAGCAGAGAAGTTTTCATTAACCAAGCCGGCAACTTGTTTTGGCAAATTGGAACACATAATCGAGGACTGTTGTTCTTACGGGGGTTTCTGTAATTAGTGTAGCCTGTCTTCGCCATTGTTGCTATGTAAAGTCAGAAGGGCTGGTGGGACCCAGAGGTGGGCCTCTGGGAAGGGTATCACATGCCATGCACCTGACATTGCTTTGATTAATCTTTCATACCGGTATGGCAATCCTACTCTGAGGCTTCATTTTCTTCATTATTTTCAAGTGAACCCACGTGCTTGTAAGCTGGTGTCTATCCCTCAAGTGGCCCCTACCCACATAACTAGCTTCATTACTCTCCACAAAATAAGCCTACTTGGCGATCCATGCAAGGGAAAGAGAATTTAATAAATTTCACTCCATTAATGAAAGAAGTACCCTAGTAATTTCCAAAGGAAAAAGCCTTCCTCTATATATACAAACATATGGAAGCAAGAACAGTTATGTTTACAATTCGTTTGCTACTTTCATTCGAAATTCAATGAAGTTGGGGGGAATCCACCACAGTGCCGAATCATTTCCTGTTCGAGCCTCTCAATTTCTGCTTCAGTTTGTGACCTTGTTGATGCACCATCTTCTGATTCCAAAGCGTTTCTCAATATCGATATTTGCCTCGCTATGCTTTTCACCTGCGAGCAATATGTTTATCAGAGGCTACATTAATCTTGACGAGTCCCAAATTTAAAAAAAAAAAAAAAAAGTTGAGATTGCTGAGAGACGCACCTTTCTGTGAGGCCATCGTTTTAATCCTTGTTTGCGACATATTTTCTTCATTTCAGTGGGACATAACTTCAACTTCTTGGCTGCCTTTTCAATAGGTAGACTAAAGAAATCTCTCATATCGCTCAATTTCATCTTCTCAATCCTCTCCCTCTGCATTGCATTCCCACATACTAACAAATTAATATTAGAGTACTTCTAATATCTACATATATGTGTGTGTGTATTCTTCCTTTTTCTCATAACTTAAATGAAAGATTATCTGGACTCCAACAGGTTGGAAAAATGTAACAAAGTAGGCTTCCGATGAATAACCTGTTCCGCAAGGCAAGTGTTTGAAGTCTTCCTTTCCTTGTCATCCCCGGCCTCCACCTCTTGTCCCATACCAGATTTTCCTCCTAAACAGATATACAAAATCAATATTCAAACTCATGATAACAAATAAACTAATAGAGACAATGCCAGAGCAACAAAGAAATGTTACAGTTGATTAATCAATCATGTATGGTGGATTCAAGAAAAGTGAAAACACAAGGCAGAAAGAAGAACACGAACCTGAAGTGGCAGACTTATTATGGTCGCTGAGGTCATCATCATTGGAGTCGTCAGCCCAATCCAATCCACAGCAGAGGGCTTCATAATAGGAAGAAAGCGGATCTTGCATCATGAAGTAGCCCATTGAATTTTGGTTCAAGCAGTGTCGGACTAGGAAAGCCTTGATTTGGGATATGTTTTTGTCGGAAAAACTGGTCCAGTAGAGAAGCAAAAACATATATCAGAAAAATAACCAACGACCTACGTGTATGCTCGAACTCGTTGACGCATATGCACACAAAAGCAATAGAGGAACGGAGTCAAAGCCGGTGACTTACTCGAATATTTGAAATGGCTGATGGGACGAAGAACCCACTTCGGTATTCTGGTAGAGAACCGCATGAGAGATGAGACCGAGTGTGCCGTGAATTTGAAGTTTGGAAAAGTGAAGAGTGCCATCAGTATGAACTATTTCACGAAGCACTTGACAGAGAGTGCAAGAAAACGGGACGGGGAAGGCTGGCAACAATGCTGAACTCAGATTCTGATGATGAGGGACGGGAACATTTTCCTGGTGGAATTCAGAAGGGCCCGCTTCAATGTTGTCTGACGCTCCACCGGAAAACATCATAGGATCTAGATATGGACTAATGTCGGCCACTAAGGCTGCTACTTCATCATCATCCAGTTCGGGCAACGCCGAGGAAGAGTCGGGAAACTGTGGGTGGTTGGATGAATCAAGAAGCGTGGGGTTAAGATCTTGGTCGAAATTAAGAATCATGTTGGTATCGTCATCGTGTGGGTCGACATAAGGAACAACGGCCATGGGATCTCCCATGTCTTGATCGAAGTGCGGGAACAAAAGGCGGCGCTTTGGAGTGTGGCAATTTCGGGGATGACAGAGTTAGTTTCGTTGGTGATATTCAGAAAGAAAGGAACGGTGCGTCTGCATGTCGGCCACATAAATAAGGAAGGAAGAGGCGCCAAAGGCAGTTGATGACCGTTGTACCAGGATTATGAGACTAGCCATGATCAGTCATCTCGTTTCAAATGTATTTCTTAATAACTAGCCAAGTTTTGGTTTGATCTGTTCAAAGTTCAAGCTTCAAATTCTGCTAATTCATTTGAACACCCCCCCAACCGAAAAAATAAAATAAAAATCCACACAATAATCCCCTAAGTCCTCTAGAGTGTCTAGGATAAAAGCTGGGCTAAATTTAAGAGAATCATTCTCAGTGCGGAGAAGGAAGAATCTCAGGACTAAATAAAAAGCAACAGGTCTTTAATTAATGATAATACTTTTCAATGATAACATATAGACATAGATAATGGGTATAAATAGAAATATATCGTTTTTTAATTTAATCATATGTCCGTAAAAATTTAATTGAAAATAAATATTTATATTTTATTTAAATAATTATAAAATTAACTTGTTAATTATAATTATAGTAGTAGTTGTTAATCATTTAATTTTTTGTGAATCATGAGGCATTAACAATAAATGACGGCGGGGACTTACCGGTCGTCATTCGGTTCGTTCAGAGCTCGGGTCAAAGATAGGGATTCCATAGTTCGGACAAGGAAATGAAAGCAGCGACATTATCATCTATGCTTAGCTACAAGGCTCTTAATCTCTTCCACTCGTCCTCTTATTACCCTCGTTCCTTTCATTCCTCTAAATCCTTCCTCACCTCTCTCCCTTTCTTCTCTCCCGCAACTCGCTATCACAATCGGATCCATTTGACCCACAACCTCCAATTTCACACTGCTTCTTCCCCTGTGATGGCCTCTACATTTAACGCAGAAAGAGCCCGCGCCCCACCTGCCATTCCCATGCCTACTCCTCCTGTTACCAAGGCAAGTTCTTCTTTTTATTTTATTTTTGAATACATGGGATTGGCGCTTCGGGGCTACTCTACATGACCGCCAGAATCTTTCTTCTGTGATTTCAGTTTAATATTGGGCTTTGTCAACTATCAGTAACCCCCGATAAGGAGAGGAACATTGCTCATGCTCGGAAAGCCATCGAGGAAGCTGCAGAAAAGGGTGCTCAGCTTGTTCTCTTGCCTGTAAGCTCTTTGCATTTCTCACTCGATCAGTTACTTAGCATACTTTTCATTTTATTAGTTGTCTGTTGAAATTTATGCCTGTTGAGCTTGATAAAATGTGCGTTCTCTGTCATTCGCTTCTTCTGTATTAACTATATGAAATATGCATTCTACTAAGTGTTATTATAACTTGTCAGGAAATATGGAATAGTCCCTATTCAAATGATAGCTTCCCCCTCTACGCCGAGGATATTGATGCTGGTGGCGATGCATCTCCTTCAACTGCCATGCTCTCTGAAGTCTCTCGTCTCTTGAAGATCACGATAGTTGGAGGATCCATACCAGAACGTTATGAAGGCCGATTATACAACACTTGTTGCGTCTTTGGCACCGATGGAAAGCTAAAAGCGAAACATCGCAAGGTTTGATTTTTAACTTTATGTGGATGCCTTGCCTCTCATCTACATTTTATGTTCAATTATCAAGAAATTCATTCTTTATAAATTATATGTTTTGAGTTCTGACTGGACCTGATCATAGAAAGTTTTAGGTGTGCTATTTAATTTTTCTTAGGAAGCTAGTTCTAATTTTTTATTAAGATGAAATTTACCACTGTAGTATTGGCGACCACATGGCACTTTTACAAATTCTTCCACTAAAGTTATATATTTTGTCAGCCAGTGATCTAGAAAGTATCTTTATACTTCATTTTGTTTCCATCTCAATTGCTACCTGTGGAATTTTAGGAGGGCCAATGATAGTTCAAAGTGCACAGATCTTTCTAGGGACTAGATTTCATCATCGACTTGAAATTTTATGGTGTTTGACATATTAATCAAATGAAGAATTGCTTTCTTGTGTAATTTCTAATTTGCTAGTCCCACTACAGATACACCTTTTTGATATTGACATACCTGGGAAGATTACCTTTATGGAATCAAAAACTCTCACGGCTGGGGAGACTCCAACCATCGTGGATACAGGTCTAACATGTTCTTTCATTTCACATTTGAGCACAATAACACTTTTCTTGTTTATGCTAATAGTTTTGCCATTATTTAGATGAGAAAGGAACATTCATAGGACAGAACTGATGCTAATATGGCTGGACAGTTGGAGACGGATGGGAAAATGGACATAAAAGTCACACTCATTATTTTGGTTTTAGTATATTTCTTACACTTTCCATAGACCATGTAGTATTATGTCTAATTTGGTTACTTGACGCCCCTAAGGGCTGATCTTGTTTAAAACGAGGCTTCACTATGAATTTGGTGATTACACTTCAAGATATCCTTGTTTTTATGCAGTTCTGCCTTCTTTCTTTCTTTCTTTCTTTGTTGTTTTATTGATTGATGAGGGAAGAGAAGTGATGTTTATGCATATATAGCCTAATTTGTCATGCTTCTTTTGAAAAAAAATAAAATGACTACATTGAAATACATTTTCTTATATCCTTGCTATCAGAGAACCTGACAGTAAAGATATTAAAAATTGCACTTGGGTTTCTTAAAAATAAAATTAGAAAAAAGAAACTAGCTTTCTAAAGGCTTCCCATTCAATCATATTTTGTACTTAAAACAGAGCACATCCTTACCTGATTGCCTTATGCAATGAGAGCTGTTCCCAAAATTAAATTTTCACGTGAAGTTTTTCATGATTTTAATGGAGAGTTGATTCATGCAGAAGTTGGGCGCATTGGTATTGGCATTTGTTATGACATTCGATTTCAGGAATTGGCAATGATATATGCGGCAAGAGGTTGGTTTGCATTTTTTCCCCTTTCTAGTTTAGTTCATTTAGCTGGAAGTAATTAATCCTGTCCTACTGGTCAACTTGAAATTTACCAGTTCTTACATTATTTCATTAGTTCGAATGTTGCCATAGTACTGATGAAGGTTTAGGACTGCATGGGTCAATCCTAAGGTTTTGTTGGATGGATTTATGGTAGAAATTAGGTTAGGTTGAAGGTTTGTGATGGTAAGGGTGACTCAGAATCCAGAGGATGGTTTCTGTGGATAACTTATTGTTTAATTTGGGGTTGTGAACCGTTTTGCCAAATTGGGATTTTCGTTTGTGGGTTTTTGAGGAAAATCAAACAAAGGGCAAGTTATGATAAATTGCTGCAGTTAAATTGATTTGTTTCAGAATTTGAATCACTTTGATCACATTACTTTTCTTGTTTGCAAGTTTTCGGATAAATACAGATTTGCTTTTGACCTCAGGTGCTCACTTGCTCTGCTATCCTGGTGCATTCAACATGACTACTGGACCCCTGCATTGGGAGTTATTGCAGAGAGCAAGGTAGTAATAATTTCTGCTTGCTGTCCACATTACGACCTGAAACGCATGACGTGTGACTGTGTTCTTAAGTTGTGTTTCTCTTACCTGTCACTTCATTGTGTTCCCCACCACTTACCCTATTCTGCTGTTTCTTTATCACTTTATTGTTGTGTCAAAATTATCATTAAGCAATAACTGTCGGATTTATCCTGTGCTGATTTGTATTTTTCTTTTTTATTTGCAGGGCTACAGATAACCAGGTAATGACCCCTTATTTTTTGTTTGTTTTCTGTGGAAATTTTTTAATGCACTTCTAGCGGTATTTTAAGCTCTGCGTGTGATTTAGAGATATCTCTTTTCTTGGGCTAGTTTTGGATGGAAAGATATGAATAGCATGCCTGGACTAAGGAATTTGGTGTTGTAGGCTGTCAAAAGTTGTCATATTTTTTTCCATATATTAGTGGGGATATTGATGCAATTTATTTTGTCATTGGAATTGGCCTTGGGCTGTAGTCTGGGTTTAATCTACGTTCTAACCTCTCTGTATTTGTGGAATGTTGCTTAAGGTCTGAGACATTGTGAATGATCACCTTTTGGAAACTCTCTCTCTCTCTCTCTCTCTCTTTTTGTTTTTGTTTTTTGACCTTTTGGAAATTCTCTATTGAGTATTCACAGTTATATGTGGCCACTTGTTCACCTGCTCGGGATACTGGTTCTGGTTATGTGGCTTGGGGCCACTCCACTCTTGTTGGGCCGGTAAGTACTAACTGTATCTAACTTTCCTAGACTTCAGAACATTCAAATTCAGCTATATTCTGCCCCGCCATAAAATGTTTGAATTGAATTCCTTGATCCCGTGCAGGCATGGGGAGAATGCTAGTTCTTCAATAAAAATGAAATACTTGAACTTTATTTTAACTACTTAACGTCAAATTAAATTTTATTGTAGAATTTGATAGAAAATACCTAAAATTTGGAGCGACAATTTTTCTATTGATTATTATGGGTATAGCTAATGAGCTGATCTCTGAATTAGTACTTACTAAAATATATCCATATGTGTCAGTTTGGAGAAGTTTTGGCAACTACAGAACATGAAGAGGCAATCATCATAGCAGAAATCGACTATTCATTGTTAGAGCAGAGGAGGTGGTTCATCTAGCCTCAGATGTTTATATATATATATATATATATATATATATATTATTTTTTTTAATCCACATTGATATCTCTGCTTACCGTAAAGTCGCTTGTCATTCTTTGTCTAATTTTATGATTTGATTAATCAGGGCAAGTCTCCCACTGACAAAACAACGGCGTGGCGACCTTTACCAACTGGTTGATTTTCAGAGGCTGAATTCCCAATGATAGGAGCTTGGCATGATGGACTACAGCTATGCTGACTTCAATATTTCGAGACAACATTCATTGCTTGGTCTTCGTGGCATGAATTTGTCATCTTTTGACTGTTAACATGTTGTACTATTTGCATGGAGTTGAAACCATGAATAAAGGGAAGAACGAGTAAATCAAGAATGGGAATTCTCCACGGAGATTGTCTTTTATATGAGCAGCTCATTTAATTCTCAATAAGTTATACAAGATTGCACAATCATTTTTTGTTACTTTCTAGTGATTCCAACCGAAGTTCTTAAAAAGCAAAACACCTTAACCATTCATAACATGCTTTAATATTGTGGGGAGAAACATTAATTTACCGCATTGGTGATAGCGATGAAGGCATAGCCAGTGACGTTAAGCATTGGCCAAGGGACAAGCCACAAAGAGGATGTGGATCCTGCAAGCCATCTTGGCGATAGCCTATGGCATTTATGTAAAGCCAGATAGACGTTGATCACTAGGATATAGACGTTAATCGCTAGGATCTGGGATTAAAGATACAACGCATTTTGCCCCATCGAAATGCTTTCTTGTCCATAGTTATAGCGTGTCTTGAAGAAATCTCTGTTTTTCTTGAATTGAAGCTGATCCAGCTTCAAGGTCTACTCCTGCATTATCTTCAAGAACATGGAACTTGATCAGAAGCTCGTTTGTGTGAAGCAAGTGAAGCAAGAGGGAGCCGATGAGTGGGAGGAGAGCATGCCGTTGCCCGGAGACATCATTGAGGGATTTGCAGAGGACGATAGTGATGATTCTTTCGTACCAGTGAAGGCCAAGTCCGAGTTAAGCTCCCATCTCGGCAAGATCAACCCTCAGAATGAGTGCATATGGTTGAAAGTTAGAAGGGGTTATAGCACTCTGAAATTGAAGGCACGTATCGTGCAACGGAAAAGCTCAATAATTCAAAAGAAGTACACTATCCAAGCCGTCACAGATCCCAGGCATATTGCAGAGTTAGATGACTTGACATTGCACCAATGCATTGAACTGCAGGGTACGCGGTCATCCATATCTTGAGAAAGTTTTCCTCAACTGTGTAAAATCACATGAAAAAATATGAAAGCGAGATCAAAATGTTGAAGATGTCATGAGACTTTCGTTATAATTATGAAGTGATGAAAAGCATCTGAGATGAGAATCTTGTGATTTTGAATGTGCAGAAATGAGCAGAAAAGTTATGAATGTGGAGAACAGGGGATTCCGCAAAAGTGGGATAAAGTATGACTGGAAGATGAAAGCAGGGATGCATCTTCCTGACAGAGGGTGTTCAGTGGTGAGCTCCATACTGTTCACGCCCTTGGAGGGGGAACACTGCGTCCATACCACCACTGGTAGGTGTATGGCGTGGTTCTGTGCAGCAGTTTCCTCAGGAGTCCCTCTTGTTTTTGTTAATATCCAGACAGAACAGATTGCCCAGTCGGTAATATATTTCTTCATCATAATCATTGAATTAGAATACAAAACACCCTTATCGTCGGTAATATATTTCTTCATCACAATCATTGAATTAGAATACAAAACACCCTTATCGTAAGAAGCCATAGAAAAATCCACAATTTTATGACTACGTATTATAAATGCGTGAACGAGAGAGACATATTTAACTAACCAAACCAGCCACGTTCAATTTTGCTTGTAAAAAGGAGAGGAGCAACGTTCCTGGAAGGGAAACAAGAAGTAGGAGCAAACAACAAGACAACACAGCCAATACCCAGATTATGCAGGGTATAAGATTTTGGTATCTACCAGGAGTAGCAGAAATATCAATAGAATTGATCCCTCGACCCAAGGAAGAGCGTTTTGGGATGGAAATCAAACGGACAGAAGAGGTATTTTTAACCAAACAAATTGTCGCATAGAATTTGAGAAATGGGTTGAATTGTTCCGAATTCATTATTATATGCAGGGGTTTGTGTGCGTGTACTCTGTGATAGAAGGTTAGCAGAGAGAGCAGGGGTAAGAGAACTGTTTGAAGAAGCCACAGGGAAAGGGTTCCTTCTGGTGATCTCTCGGTTGCACGGCAAGAGCGTGATGCCTTCCTCCGTTTGCTCTGCGGGTCTTATCCACTGTTGTGATCACTCCGACATAAAGGACACTCTCAGTTCGGCCATAGACGGAAATGATACCCTTGAGATGCATATAATGGCATGGCCTAATCAAACTCGGCTCAGTCCTCTTCAACCTCTGGCCTCCCAGGCTCCGTTGCCTCCCCCAGGCTTTTCCCCGCCCCTGCACTATGATTGAAAATTTATACAATAAATAGGTGTGGTTACATGTTGAGCAGAGTTGTATTTACTATTTAGTCCTTTGCGTGACAATCCCACAATCATTTTAAAAAATTGATTATTAATTAATTAATAATTTGGGAAAATGACCACAAAATACCATGTGAATTTTAAATGAAAATTTAAAGACAAATATGAATAAGCAAAATGACAAATAGGGCATTGGGTACTAATTTGGAATTTAGTTTTTTGGTATAAAGACTGAAATGTCTTTATTATCTCTGAACACTGAGCAGCGTATTTGTGCGATAGAGAAAGGGAGAAACTGATTTCCTTCGACGAAACTAAATCCAAGTTCCTGCCGTCACCAAAAAGGGTTCTTCGAAATCACATTGCCACCGTCGCAGGAGTAGATTGCCGTCGCTAAATTTGGTTACCATCTTTGAAATACATTGCCCTGTTTGAAATAACTCATACTTCTTGAGATTGTTGTCGTCGAAGAGGTCGCTGAAGTAACACCAACTGTGATAAGCAAGTAGGAAACTTAAATATTATTCTTCATAGAGTATTTTCGATGGGTCCCCACAGCTTAAAATGTTATTGTCTACATTCCTCTTTTTGGTTCTGTCTCTGTTCTTCTCATAAAATCGTTTTCAGAGAATGTGAAGCTATCTAGTTTTCTAGTATTATTAAACCATTTGTCCTGAATTTTACAAAACACATATTGTGATTTACAACTTTCATAGTGAAAGTGACCACTTTGTTAATGGGTTTTGCAACCTGTTTTCAGGAGATAAACAACTTGTTTGTAAAAACTAATAAAATTCCACGCTAAATTCGACAAAACACTTGGGATTTACAACTTTCGTAGTGAAAATGATCACTTCTTTAATGGGTTTTGCCACATGTTTTCAAGGGATGGGCAACTTGTTTCTAAAAACCAATAAATATTCCATGCTGAATTTTACAAAATATATAGTGGATTTACAACTTTCATAGTGAAAATGACCACTTCTAAATGGGTTTTGCAACCTCTTTTCAGGGGATAAGCAACTTGTTTCTAAAAATCAATAAAATTTCACGCTGAATTTTACAAAACATACAATGAGATTTGCAACTTTTATAGTGAAAATGACACTTCTTAAATGGCTTTTGCAACTTGTTTTCAAAGGATGGGCAACTTGTTTCTAAAAACCAATAAAATTTCACGTTGAATTTTACAAAACATATATTGGGATTTATAACTTTTGTAGTAAAAGTGACCGCTTTGTTAATAGGTTTTGCAACATATTTTTGGGGGATGAGTAACTTACTTTTCACCACCAATAAAATTTCACACTGAATTTTACAAAGCACATAATGGGATTTATAACTTTTATAGTGAAAGTGACCACTTCTTCAATGGGTTTTGTAAACCTGTTTTCACTAGAAGGACAACTTATAAGCATAAATAAATCATTCAGTGAACGTGCACCTGAAGTATATCACAATAAACATTGAACTATTAACTTTCATAATTAACTACATGTATAATAAAATCTACCATTCACGTAATGAGATTTACCAAAAACCAGTAGGCATATGACAACAGTTACATTACGTAATTGCTTGCCCTATTTTCTGATTTCTGCTTCATCATTCACCAAATATTGAATATAAACCCTCAAATGCAATAATCCTGTTCCTATTTCACCATGAAGCAGCCACAAAAATGAATAATCCAAATCCCGCCATCAACTCCTACTCACTCACGTAATCCTACAGGTTCACTCCCTTTCTTACTACAAATCCTCTTTCCCACAACCAAAACCCACCAAATCAATAATGTCTACAAATAGTAATGCGGAGGAGTAAGATAATAGCATTTCAATATTTTTCTTTCCTTCTTTTTGTGTTTCATCAACGTCTTCCTCTGTTTGCTTTCTTCTCACTTTCAGCTTCTTTTTACCTCACTCATTAGGGCAATTCGGTCATTAGACCAAAAATCTAAATTAAATTGGTACTCAATGCCCTATTTGTCATTTTACTTATTCAAGTCCTTATTTATCTTTTGAAATTCACATGGTATTTTACTGTCATTTTTCCTAATAATTTTGTATTTAGGTTAAAATGAACTGCGGGTTTCGCAACTTGCAGGCTTAGATTTCACCTCACGGACTTACATGAGATATAACTCGGTCTATGCCATCTCGTCCTTCGACTCCCGGCAATCCTACTGTGCTTCAATCTTCAATTGAAAGAATGGTTTTCCGTTTTACTCCGATGATTATGATTTATTATTACATCGGTGATCTGAAAAATTAGGGCATTTGTGCTATGAAGATGTGAAATTTCATGTGCTTCTGATAAATGTAGGCGCAACAGAGTATTGACCACTTGTGCTTGTGAGGGAATGGCTGCAGCCAGGCCTTGGCGTGCTCCTCCAAACCCCTCCCTTGTCACCTCCATAACTTCACTGCTTCAAACCCTAAATCCCCAGAACGCCAACATCAGTTCCCAACCCCTTAATCAGTTCGCTTCTTATCTCAATCCAGACTTAGTTATCCAAGTAATTAAGAACCAGAAAAACCCCTTCCACGCCCTCTTCTTCTTCAATTGGGCTTCCAACCCTCAACCTAACCCTAAAAACTACTTCCATACTCGCTCCTGTTACATCGCCATCACTGACGTCTTGCTTTCTCACTCCCTTTTCTCCACCGCCTTCTCCCTCCTTCACCACTCTCGCAAAGTCTCTGACTTTATCATCGCCAGATTCATCAAAGCTCTCGGTGATAGTGGCGATATTAGGGGTGCCATTCATTGGTTCCACTATGTTAAATCGTATGAAAGAGGCCGTTGTTTGTACTCCTATAATTCGGTTTTAGGTGTGTTGGTGAGAGCGAATCGAGTCAATTTGGCCAAGGCTTTCTACGATCAGCTTGTGAAGGAAGGTGTGGTGGTTCCCGATGTTTATACTTACACCACGATGATTAGGGGCTTCTGTAAAACGGGTATGGTGGAGCACGCCAGGAAGGTGTTCGATGAAATGAAATGTGACCCGAACTTGTTCACTTACAACGTAATGATCAATGCATTTTGTAAGAAAGGTGATATGGATAGTGCCAAGAGGATTATTAATGAAATGATTGAAAGTAAGAAATGTGCACCAGATGTGGTAACTTACACGACTTTGATTGATGGTTACTCTAAAAAAGGTGAATTGCAGGAGGCAATGAATTGTATGATGGAGATGGCGAAGCACGGTTGTGAGCCTAATGTCTTGACCTACAATGCGCTTATAGAAGGTCTCTGTTTGAGCGGGAAGGTAGATGAAGGGAAGAGGATGATGAGTAGGATGCGGTTAAATGGTCTAAAAGACAATGTTGTCACTCATACGAGCATAATAAAGGGATTTTGCATTGTAGGCAAGTCTGATGAAGCTATCAAGCACATGAAGGAAATGGTTAGTCTTAGGATGAATCCAGATGTGAAGTCATATGGCATTATTGTTAACGAGTGTTGCAAAATCAGAAAACCAGATGCAGCAATTTCATTTCTAAGAGAAATGAGGGCCAGAGGCATTAAGCCTAGCGTGTCAAGTTTCAATGCAGTGTTTAGAGTTTTTGTGGACATAGGGAAGCTACAAGAAGCCATTCTTCTTTTAAAGCAGATGCCAGAATTTGGCTGCTCGCCTAATTTCTTATCATATAGCGCAGTGATATGTGGCCTTTGTAAAATGAAGAGTAGGATGCAAGAAGTTGAAAAGTTGGTTAGGGAGATGCTTCAGAATGGACATCACCTGGATGCTACCATGTACAACTGCTTGCTTAGAGCATACTGTGAGGACGGCAATGAGCAAATGGCAATTCAGACGGTTTATGAAATGATTAGTAATAACTTTGTAGTTAGTTTAGATGCATTCTCTAATTTTGTCAAGGTGTTGTGCGGGAAGCGATATAACAGAGAGGTTGAGATAATATATGAAGAGATGCTTAGGAGACGCCTAGTACCTGAACCTGACGCGGATTCATACAAAGGGATTTTACTTTCAACTGAGGATTCTTACTTAAATTCAACATAGTAACAGTGGAGAATCTGCTTGCCCAGTTCTCACCGTTGTTTAAGTCATCAAGTGTGCAAAAGAGGGAAATGATGTTAAAGGCATTAAAAGCAGGACCAAGGGTTCCCAGTCCCAGTTGTGCTTTGGACATTGGAGCAGATCTCTGAACGTTTGACCAGGATATGTATTTGTTATCATCGCGATTGGCATAAACATTCAGTTGAGTGTAGATGACTGATAATAGAATTATTATTATTGCCTGAACGACGTAGCATTGAGTTTATGATACATTATGGGGTTTATCAGTTACAGATATTCCATTTCATTCTTTAAAGAAATAAATTACACTGGTTACAAATTTATGCAAAATACTTTTTGTTAAATTTCTCATGTTAATGAATAAAATATGACAGCACGAGATTGAGTGGCTGCTGGTCTGGATTTCTAGATTGCCATCCTTTATTTTTCGAAGGTTAACCTACGTGGCTTCCCCATTGTAAGTTAATGAGATTAAAATTTAATTTATAGTTGTAAGCCCAGTTAATCTTTCAAGCGTTCATATTCTCAGGTAACGCCTTTAAATGTTTATTTATTTAACATCATCTTGTAGTTTCTATTAAATACCGTTGAATTCTTTAATTTGTTGGCTAAAATTAGTCTATAATAATTCATGTTGTTAAGCAAGCATGAGAGAAGCTTACATCGGCCCCCACATGTTGAAATTTCTAATAGTCCAATTTCAAAAGGTTAGTTAAGATCCATGCGCATATCAGCTATGTATGTGGCACATGAATTAGCATTCTCATATAAAAGCCCGTCCGCACGATCACTGGCCTTCAAATATTATCAAATGATTCTGATCCAAATCCGCTTAATCCTGCCCTCTCTCTCTCTGTGTGTTTCCAGTGACAGATCAAATACTTTTCCCGCTCTCTCCCTCCGTCTACAGACTAGGATTTCAGCTCTAAATGGAAGGAACCTCTTCTGCGTCCAGTTCTGGTGATAAGCTGGAAGAAGGTTTCATGGATTTCATGGCTCGCAGAAATTATCTGATTATGGCCCTCACCGAGGGGTATCCCCTGCTTTAATTTCTTTCCCTTTCTCTTCTTTTCTCTGCTACTTCTTCCATTCTTTTCAATTTCATTTCATTTCCTTCCATGTTTCAATTGTTAATATGCTTCTGCAGATTATGATAAGTTCCATCGCCAGTGTGATCCCGGTGAGTTTTTATTCTCTTTTAAATTTAATCCCTCTTTCTGTTACTTCAGCTTCATTTCTTTTTCTGTTCTTCAAAAGGAAAAGGATAAAACTTAGTCAAAAGAAAAAAGAACAAGAAAAGAGAAAACACGAGCATTCAAGTCTGGCTTGTTTTGGCGATGAATCTTTGACCACAGGAAAGTTAATTCCACCTAGCATTTGGTGAGGCGTTATGTGCGTCCATGCAAAGATATAATAATAATCATTATTTTTCTATTTCTAGTCCCTAAACGAAAACATATTCATCAAGTTCTTGCCGTGCATTAATAAAAATGGCTTAACCCGCTTTCTCGTGTTCCTCTTTTCTGAACCAGTCTCTAGCACTCTAAACTTATTAAATTTATACCGTCTATATCTAATTTAAATAGTTTAGATTTAAAATATTTAATTAATTATTTTTAAATAGAAAAAAATTATTTTTTGAAAAAATGATAGTTAAGAGATTTTTTTTATTTTAAATTCTATACATATTGAAATAATTTTTTTAAACAAATAAAAAAATCGAATCTGAACCATGGATAATTCAGATTTGATGGGTTTAGAGGACTCATCTACTCAAACTAGTTCCTCTTTTCCTTACTTTTTCCTTCCATTTTCAGTTTTGAACTTTCAAATAAATTTTTTAACAACTTATTTTTCTTCATGTGATATACTATGCAGATAAGAAATTAAAATTTACTGTACCTCCATTTTGATATTTAAATTCTATTAAAATGTGTTAAAGAAAAGTTAGAGGAATAATAAAAAAATCCACGCACCTCAACAGAGGATATAAAAATTAAATGTGTGTATATATAAATTGCATGGAGAAAAAAAAAATCTCACTGTTATAATATAGGGAAAACTAATTTATGAGTCCTCATAGTTTAACCTAATTTTTAATCAAGTCCTTGGAGTTTTTTTTCTTTTTAATCAACTCCTTCAAATTATCTCCGTCATACACGTTACTCCTTTTGCTTCAGAAACGTTAACCGGGGACAAATAGATTCATAATTGCCGTTAAGAGAATTGAGGTAGATGATATCTGGATCAATTTTGACAAGGTGGACTTCGGTTATCAACACATTAGCGACACCAACGTCCTCTTCGTTCCATTGAGCAATGAGATGGATTGCGAAAGAGAAACATATTAGTTGAGAGCATAATCGCTAAAGTAGGTAAGTCGAGTGAATGAGGGAGTTGAATTCGAAGTCCCATCTTTTAAAAGTTCCATCTTCTCTGCTCTTGCATTCATTACATGTGTGCTTTCTGTGAGTTCAAAGTTTCATCTCGGATTCCATTGTGTGTTCGTTAGGTTTATTTGCTTGAGGATTCACATTTAGTATTTCCGTGTTGTTCATTTAGATCTCAGGCCAACACAGATCTATTTTGGGGGGTGCGAGAAGAATAGATCTTCTGGGAAAGAGTTAGAACCGAATTGTAGGTATTTATATTTTATGGCTAACTTGGGAGAGTCATATTTTATGGCTAACTTCACCTTTGGTCTTTCTTTGAATTTTCAAATTTTCAGAAATGTATTTTGCAAGAAAAGAGAGTAAGCATGGATGAAATTTTCAAAATGAGTTATTGATCTAAAGATTTTTTAACTTGAGTTGTTTACACATACATATTTTATGGAATTTGAGATGAATAAAAAAAATAAAGATTACAGCACAATATATATGACAGCAACAACTTTTTAATTTTGGAATCACAACTCCTTGATAATTATTGAATGCCATGGTCTAAGGTCATGGAAGTATCAATTTTTGGGAGTTCAAATATTGTTTTTTCTGTTGGAAATGTGTTTGTAGTCCCTGTCATTATATTGTTCACTTCATGCTTATTGTCCCTATCATTTTACAACGATGGTCCTCAACAGCACTAAACCATTACCAGCTACAAACAACCAGCGGCCATTTACATCTTAAAAGCTTTTCCGGATCGGCAAAGCAATTAACTACAGCCTTCTGTAGATTTCACTTCAAGCAGTTATTCTACTCTTTCCTTGATTGGATAGTCCTTCATAATGTATGATCTTTTCTGAATGCTTTCCGGATCTGATAGAAAAACAAACACACAACACACCAATTGATTATTAACAATGAGAAAAACACCCCATAAGAATACTACATTAGAATTATATCCTCAAATGCGTATTCTGGAAGACTCTCAAATGTGTTCTTTCCAGGGATCATTCTTAGGTAAAATGCAGAAAACTCCACGCATTGCTCTTTACTGGTTCATGGATAGTAAAGGGTCCACTTTTCCCTTTCATGGCTAACATCTCTGACTTGAGCCCTTCGCGATTCCATTTGAGTTTGAGCTCATGATAGCGTTAATGGGGACATATGAAGACAGACACTGTGAGCAAGGGATCAGATTTTGCACGACGATCTCCTCCCTTCTCCTAATCACAAGAAAAACCTAAAAGTGCTTTCATTCTTCGATGTCATTAATGTTCTATTTCTCTAATGTTTTGATAACTGAAGTCCAACTTGTCAAAATTCATCCAACTGTCAGTCACCTCACTTCTTTTTAATGGCAATCATGAATCTGTTTGTCCCGGTTAACGTTTCTAAACAGAGGGAGTGATGCGTATAACGTAGATAATTTGAAGGAGTTGATTAAAAGGAAAAAAACTGCAAGGACCTGATTAAAAATTAGGTTAAACTATAAGGACTCACAAATTAGTTTTCCCTATAATATATAACAGTCAGATTTTTTTCTTTGTGCCATTTTCAGTAACAGGGTGCCTGCGTGAGAGAGAGAGAGAGAGGAAATAAAAAATGGAGGACTGTCAGAATGAAAAGGCAAGCTGATGTTAGCACCAATTTACTTGTTTGTCTTCCCCGGCCTTCATATTTTTATATATACACTCTTCTCAACTTGTTGGATATATATATATATATATATATATATATATATGACTAAGCTTTTAGTTTGATGTTAGCTTCTGTTTTAATTTGCTGAAATGAGCCAGTGGCTCTTCAATTTTCATATTGTGACACCTGCTATGGATATAATAGTATATTTGATGTAGCAGTGAGTCTTCCATCCTTTAATGATATTGAAATCTACTGCTCATATGTCTCCACGCACTAGGATTGCTCGACTTCCAGCACCATCTCATGATGTTCTTACCAGGAAATCCCCGAGAGAGAAAGGAAAGAAAAAATCACCAGCTTCCATTGAAAGCGGAGTCGCATTTAAACCTTAACCCAAGGTATATATATCATGCAAGCATGGACATTAAATTTAAAATGGCTGTTATAGAGTGATTAACGGTGTTCCCAACACATGTTTTGGCGACAACCTTGGAGAACTTGAAACAAGAATCAAGGTGGAGACATGATTGGTAATTAATACTACCTCCGGTTTTAATTATAAGACCCAGTTGACTTATTTGAGGAGATTAAGGAAGTAAGTTAAGTTAGTTATTTGTAACAAATAAGTGTTGTCATTCCTAAAATATCCTTACTAATTAAGTGTATTGGTTAGAACTATCATTATTATAAGGAGTATCTTGAGAAAAAATACATAAATATGAGAGATAAAATGGATTGGGTCTTATAATTAGGATCAAACAAAAATTAAACGGGTCTTATATTAAGGACCGGAGGTAGTAATAATTAATTTTTGGTTGGCAAATTAAATGCAGCGAGGGCGACCTATAAAAGAGCCAAAGAACTCCAATGCGTCAAAAGCATTGATGATATCGGAAACGGTAAAGGAGGAAGAGGAGGAAGATACAGTGTGTAAGGAATGTGGAAAGAAAGAGTGGTGGGATAAACACACATGTCGGTTCTGCACAACAACGCCTCCTAAAAAGAGAAAGTTAGCAAGGTCGCCTGTACCCTGATATTACCACCTTTTACCTTTAATTATTTTAGGATTACTTAGGGTGTGTTTGGATGAAACCAAACCATGGTTTGGAGAATAACTTTTGGAGAATAGATTTTGAAAAAATAGATTTTGGAAAGAATAGATTTTGTGAAAAAGTGATTTTGAGAAGTGTGAGTGTTTGGATAGTTGTTATTAGAAGTACTTTTTATATATACAAATTGGCATAAATTAATATGATAATTATAGAAAAATATATTTTATGATATATTTTAATTTGAAGGAATAAAATTGTTAATAATATATTTTTTATTAACATATATTAATAATATATAAGATAATATAATTAATTAATTAATATGTATATATATTTATAAGATATAAGATTAAATATATTTATAAAAAATATGTTTATAAAAAAAACACAAGATACATATCCTATAGACTCTCACACTCTCCTCTTTTTTCTCCAAAAGTAAAAAATTTCTGTTTTTCTCAAAAACATGGTTTTGATTTTTTTAAAGGTGTTTGGCTAACATTTTTCCCAAACCATGGTTTGGGATGCTTGCCAAACACACCCTTAGTTTAGTTGCGTTCGGTTTCTCCACTACTCTGGTGGCTGCAGCGCGTTTGTCGTCCCATTAAAACGATGTCGTTTGGTTAGCAGATGGGTGATGGGCAATCCTGGTCGTCCTTTTCTATAAGACTGCTTTCTTCTTCGTGGACAATACGGTTGCCAATTACGGTACTAATGCCTACAAATCATGAACAAAATTGAAATCATTAATAAACAAAGTTCTGTTCTTGACATTGGAACAAACCATTCACAAGCAAGTCAGCATGGTGTCAATTGGTGGATGCGGAGATCTATATAATGCGCCCAAATATTGCTCTTTTTTATATTACATATCTTAGAAAGTCCTTTTATTTCGCTTCATTTTAGAGTACAACATTGATATTCGTTAATTTCTTGGGTCATATACTTCATTCTATTCTTTACTGATCGATCACCTCACGTTCGTTTCCTGCATGCTCTCATACATTCTTTCCACACAAATTTTGATTCCGATTACCAATCAATATTCCCCTTATCAAATGGCGCCCATGAATATTTAATCCAAATCATATAACTCGATATTCTGAAATTAAGCTAGTTACCGAATTATTGAATATGAAGAAATTATTTTGGATCGGTATGAGGATCCATATAAAATGGTGTCAACATGACAATATGGTGAAAGTATGGATACTACTGGTGCCATTTAGGGCACTTCTAATATATGAACATATTTCATACAGATCAAGAAAAATTTAAATTTTATTAATTCTTTTTTAAAATATAACAGCTTTTTAACTTGATCTTTATTTAAGATATACATTTTTTCAATTAAAAAAAATATCTACACTTATAATAAATAAAAGACAAAATAATATATTTATATTAAAAATTTAATAAAATAATTTATAAATAAGATTTGAAAAAAAATTTCTCTTTTCATCTTATAAATAAATAGGACTAAAAGAATATATTTTATTTATTAGATTTAACTGTGGTTGAAGTGAACTCATCATTCCCACCTACTATTTTGTTTTCTTCCAAGCACGTGCGATGCGATATAGGCCGTTGGCGTGTTCGGATTTTAATTTTATTTTATTTCAAAACGAAGCACGAAACGCATCCTTCAATCCGAAGAGCCAAAATTCACATCAAATTTGATTGAAACTTTGATTCAGTTCTCACCGTTGTTTAACTCATCAAGTATCCAAAAGAGGCATCAATTAATTAAGCAGGACCCAGCTGTAGGGCTTGAAATTGAATTGACAAGCGGATATTTTATGCTTCACTCCGTTCCTTTTCATAACAAATAGTCTCTTTTACAGTGTTGCCTCTGAATATAAAAAAACAAACCTTATTTACCTGAGTTTTAAAACAGTCTTCACATTTTTATCCTTATTAAATATATGCTATTTATTATCAGTCTGTAATAAATTTTCGTTCATTATCCCTCGTGTATTCCATTTACAAATAAGAACATAATTAAAAAATAGGTATATATTTTATATATTTATTATTTTTAATTAAATTTAACTGATGTTTCAAATTACTTGATTTTGATGGTTGTTTTTAATTAATCAACACCTCAAACTTATTATATCTCAACCGTTGATATTTGAAATTGATGAAACCCAGCTCAATTTCTCCCATTGAGTGCGAAGGTGACGAGGTCAGATATGCATTTGTCATGAAGGCGGTTGGCATGAACCTTCAGATGAATGCAGATAACATGATAATACAGTTATTATTGGCCGAACGCCGTAGCCTTATAAAATCCCGGTCCTCACGCACTCGCTGGCCATCAATATCGCGTCCCGTACGTCAATATTCTCAGTTGTTTCCGATTCAAATCCGGTGGCAGATCAAATACTTTTCCCGCTCTTTTCCTCCCGTTTACAATCTTCGATTTCAGCTCTAAATGGAAGGAGCCTCTGCGTCCAATTCTGGTGCTGACATGGAACTAGTTTTCAGCGATTTCAGGGCTCGCAGACACGGTCTGATTAAGGCCCTCACAGAGGGTATCCGATCCGCTTTCTGTCTTTAATTTCCTGCCCTTTTTTTCGTCTTCCCCTGCGAGTCCTTCCATTCTTGATTCTTGTCGAATTTCTTTTCGTTTCCTTCTCTGTTTCAGTTGTTAATATATGCTTCTCTTGTGCAGATTTTGATGAGTTCTATCGCCGGTGTGATCCCAGTGAGTAGTTTTCATTCTGTTACGTATTAACATATCTTTCTCTTTAATCTCAGCTTCATTTCTTCTTCAATTCTTGAAAAGTCGGGGCAAAAAAGAAAGTATAATCATCCAAACCTTGGCATGTTTAGTTCGACGCGACACTTAATTCCGCTCACTTAGCATTCAGTGATAAATTATGTCCAGGCAAGAAAGGAAGAAATAAATTATTATTACTTTTTATATGATTTCATATGTCGATTAAGCTATCCCCTTATGTCTCTAGTTTCTAAAATTTTTGGTGAACACTCTATGGAGCAAATGTAGAATCCTTGGCGGACACGAATAAATGGATTAATCCTGCCTCTCTGTTTTTCCCCCCCGTATTCTTTTAGTTTTCTTCTTCTGCTTCTTTGTCGGGTTCCAGATTACCTTCAAATTAAAATTTAAGCAGATATTTTTAATACTTGAATTCTATTGAAATTTATAAAATAAACTAGGAGAGAAAAAATTGACATGCAAGTCAAGGGGTGGGATCAATATTCAAAATTTGTAAACGGCGGCGTTCTTGGCTTCTTATATCTCTCAGTTTTTAGTTCTGTTATGAGATTAGATGATGCTAGTACATTGGTCTTCGAGTGAGGATATAAATTGTAGGCCCACGTCATGACCAGTTATTGTGATACTACCTTCGGTCTTTAATACAAGACCCTGTTTGATTTTTAATTTGGTCCTAAATATAAGATCTCAATCCACTTTGTCACTCATATTTATGCATTTTTTTTAAGATAGTCCTTCTAATAATTGTAATTCTAGCCAATATAGTTGATTAGGAAGGATATTTTAGGAAAGACAATATCTATTTATTACAAATAACTAACTTAACTTCTTTCTTTAATCTCCTCAAATTAATCAACTATTATTATTAGAAAAATAAGTTTTGTAGATGGCTTGCAAAGTTAGCGCATGGGTTATAATATATCTATATAGGTAAACGTGGTGATTCGGAGGAGGAAGAGTTTCTTTGCCTATATGGATATCCCGATGGGCAGTGGATGGTGGAACCGCCGATGGAGGATGTTCCTACAGACCTTCCGGAGCCTGTATTGGGTATAAACTTAGCCAGAGATATGATGCCCAAAGAGGAATGGCTATCCTGGGTCGCTGCCCACAGCGATACTTGGTTACTCTCTGTGGCTTTCTTCATAGGCGCTCGCTTTGGATTTCGTCAGGCTCAAAGGTGCCTATGGATTTCATCAAGCTTTAGTTCTATGATTTGATCGGGACTTGTTAATGTGATGGAATTGTCATTCCTCATAAGCAGGCAGCAGCTGCATGATATGATTGAGGAGCTTCCAACAGTATCTGAGGTTGTCGTAGCTGAGATAAATAAGAAGAGGCAGCAGCAACGAAAACGAAAGAGAACTTCATCATCAGCTTCCATGCAAGAATCTTATAATGAGGTGTGTGCTTGCAAGTAAATTCACTGTGAAATTGTAACTGTTATCACTTGGAACTGCGAGAGACATAATCTGATAATTTGGTCGGCAAATAAATGCAGCGAGGAAGAAGTAAAAATATGGAGACAGAGACTTCGAAAGAAATGATGAAAGCAGAGGAGGAGGATGAGATAAAAGTGGAGTGGGTGCGTTGTTGGAGGTGTCACAGGCACTTCCATAGACAGTGTGTCCGCGATTTTTCTGCTAAGCCGCGCATTGACATTAACAACTTTCTATGTACCATCTGTCATTTGCCGTATGATACCCTCTGTCGTGTGCCGTATAAGTGATCGATACGTACCCCTCCCAAACACAAAGCTTCTTGTTGCGCACAGTGCCTACTTTTCCATCCTCGTTATTTTGGACACTGGTTTAGTTGTCGTTGGGTCCGGTTTCTCTGCAATGTCCTTTTCGTTCCGACAGTTGAAACGATGTCGTTTTGTTAGCGGATGCTATATTTGGACCCTTTAGTATGATTGACAATCTTGATCTCGTCCTTTTGCGTTGCGCCTTTTATGCTCAGGTCCTAATTGTAGGACAAATCATCAAGTGTTATGAGAAATTAATGTGCAAAACAACGCACCAATCTTCTGAACAAGTCCGGATGGAAAGCAGGAAATATGGAACATACTGTAATAAATAATTTACTCTTCATTAATCTCTTTTTAAACGAGGAAAATATATCTCAGCATAGTGAGCTGAATGTGTTGTGCAAAATGTACATACATTTCATGGCTGAAAATTTAGTTAGCGAATAAAAATAAATAAAAAAATTCCGCCAGGAGAATTATGAAACAAAGCGCTTTAATAATTGAGCGACCGTTATTTGTACTGGAAAATATAATACATTTGGTTTCAACCCATCCCTTGTTCTTTTCGTCTACAAAATGTATATGATGGATTAAGGGGGTGTTTGGACAGAAACCAAACCATGGTTTCAGAAGTGCTTTTACGGATTACAAAATAAATATGTGGAGGAAGTTATCTCGTTTTGCGAAAAAGTGCTTCTGAAACTTAGGTTTTGGTTTTACCAAACACCCCCTAAATGGCCCATCCATGATACAAGAGAATCCTCCAGTTCTCATTTGGACCTCGTAACGTGTAGATGGGAAAACACGCGGCAGTCATGCGGACCAACACAGTCTACAACGGAAGCCACCTTCTATTCTTCAGGAGCGCCGAATATACTTTTGCGGGATCAGCGCCATTTTTTTTGTTATTTTTAATGCTCCTCACAATCATCATGTAAATATGAAGTGGAAAAAATTTAATCCAAATCCTATAAATCAATATTATCGAATTAAAAGAATATTCTTGAATACGGTGAAAGCATGGATCTTACATCAATGCATTGATTTTTTTTTTTTTAAATGTGTTGAAGGCAACTCATTTTCGGTTACTTCTATTTTCTTTTCTTCCGAGCAAGAGTTTGAGGAGAGTGATGGGATCTAGAACGTTGGCGTGTTCGGATTCTATCTTTATTTTCTTTCAAAACATAAAGGGAAAGTGGGAAAAATATCCAACAGCGAAAGTTTTGTGGCAGAAATAGTAACTTTTTGTCCGGATTTAATCGCAAACATCCACAATCTTCTAGAACCCGTCGAGAGTAGCAACCGAACATCCTGGAAACCTATGAACCGTTCTCTTTATTCATCCAGAAACTTCTGTGTTCTTCCACCAATCATTCTCTCACCCTCCTATAAATTCTAGGGTCCACCGGTGTTGCTCATCGTAAACAAAGCAGCTCGCGCAAAAGCAGAGTGAAAGGAGACTTCAGCGACTCCGCAGAAGAAGATCATGGATATCAGATTCTCCGCCTTGGATTCACCAATATTCCACGCTCTCCAGCACATGATGGACGTGACGGACGACGCTGCCGATAAGTCTGTCAATGGTCCGAGCCGGACATATGTGCGCGATGCGAAGGCTATGGCTGCCACTCCGGCGGATATCAAGGAGTATCCTAATTCGTACATGTTCATCATCGACATGCCGGGCCTGAAATCTGGGGACATCAAGGTTCAGGTGGAGGACGACAATGTGCTTCAGATAAGCGGGGAGAGGAAGAGGGAGGAGGAGAAGGAAGGAGCCAAGTACGTGAGAATGGAGAGAAGGGTTGGCAAGTTTATGCGCAAGTTTGTGCTACCTGAGAATGCAAATACTGATGCCATTTCTGCCGTATGCCAAGACGGAGTGCTCACTGTTACCGTCGAGAAATTGCCTCCGCCGGAGCCTAAGAAGCCCAAGACTATTGAGGTCAAGGTAGCTTAGGGCTTTGCCTGTGT